GACATCTGGCCATTTTGTTTCGAACACTTATTTTTATTTTTGTTCTCAAGCGCGTGAAAGAGCGTGTCCCTGCTTGTGCTCGTAGCGCTGACTGTGCTACAGCGACATTTTGTTTCCTGCGATTTCTTTGTATTTTCTTTGTGAGCGCGGGCTGTGGGCATTGGGTACTACAAATGATGGCATCACCCTAAACAAAAGGACATTGAGGCACTCTAGGTTCGGCGTTTGCCACGGGCTTTCGCAATAAATCTTACCAAGAAGGAATCAATTGTTAATTTACGTGTCAATATTCTGTCAATGAAAAATTTTTCTGCAAGAATGCACGCTCTGTAGACTCAATCTTCCACGACACCAGTGGAAGCGGACGTCTAGGTAACTGCTTTGCGATTTACGGTATTTACCTCAACATTATAATGACGACTGAAAAGTGACGTCACAAAATATTGTGTTTCACGGGATCCGGAAGATGTTTTAAGGTTGTTACATTATAGTTCCTAGAAAACAAACGGCCGTTGCAATATTTTCGGATGTACCGACACACATTATGTTGTAAGTACAGCTTAGGAGGAATATGATGAAAAGCATGAGTATAAATAGGAAGACGTTTATTTGTAGTGAAGACGCTATGATTGAGCGGCGTTTAGTGACGGCAAGTGATGAGCGTTCAAGAATTTATGAGTTCACATGATTGCTAACTATGGACATGTGGACAATGAAGACCTGTTTTGTCGGGACGTGGAGTTGTGGTGATGACCTGACATCGGACGACTCGTGGCAGACGAACAAGCAAGTTTCTTGCCAGCGAATGGTATGCGTCAAGTGTCAAGCACAGCGCGTCGCTACCGACGTTTAGAGCACTTACCGCTTTCGACAAAAATGTTGGCACCTGGGCTAACTTTGCGGAAAGACTCGAAGTCTTCCTCAAGTTCAGCGCCATCATGAACAGTAACTGAAAACAATCCACTATTCAGTTGGTGGGTGGCGAAACGTATCCGCATCTGCGGAGTCATGGTCGATGCATACTGTAAGTGATTGGAAGTTTACACGATGCATGCCACGACGTCCAAATGCGTCATTGACGTTCTACGCTCTCTTTTTGCTACTTTTGGCCTACTGAAAATACTTTTCTCTGTTAACGCGCCACATCATCTTTCAAATAAAATATACAAGTTTTTGAGAAAAATAAAGACGGCATCAGGCACCACATCATCCTGCAACTAGTGGGCAAGCCGAACAGATGGTGTGTGAAACGAAGAAAGCCCTCTTGAAGCTTACGGAAGAAGCAGTTCAGTGAAGAATCGTCAGGTTCTTGTTCTGGCAACATGCGACGGTCTCATCTTCTACGAGAAAAACACCGGCCGAAGCAATTTTCGGCGGACGAAGAGCCCCACCCCTCGATCTCATGACACTATGGCCTACGAACGAAGATCGAGAGATTCCCAGATGGGAGTAATGGCAGTTTATTCGATCGGACAACTCGTCTACGTGAGAAATTTCAGCGGAAGTTCGGCCTTTCCTGTAAAACTTGAGTAGAAAAGGCTCTATGTTGTTTGACCAGGAGGTGTCATCCCTCTGAATACAATGGATATCAATGCCCTTGAGTGTAAATATAACAAAATCACAAAACTCTCTTTGTGCATTGTGTAGCTGCCCTTGTATTTGGTAGCAGAAGCTATGGTGGTGATTTGGACCTTTCACACCAGGCTTCCTTTTCTTTATTTTTCGCCTCATACTCTTTTGCGGTTTCAATAGGCTATAAGAATCTTTTGGAACGTGGACACTTTACGTCAACGAGGCCATTGGTTCCAAGGGTCAATCAGGGGATACTGCTAGAAATCTGTCCTTCATATTAATGAATAAGCTGCGCTTTCGCAGAGTGCAGTTTTCATGTTCCACGTACAGTTGTAAAGCAGCATCCTCATTGATTCTACCATATTCTGTTACGGGTGAAGAAAACTCTTTGGGTACACGATACTTGAAACAAGTCTGGCCCCGTACGTTGTGGTTCGATACCTAATAATGTCGTCGTCCTTATAGAGCCTCATCATTTAATCATTACTTCGTCTTCTCATATTACTCTTCATCGACAGTAAGTATACAATAGGCTACCGCCATACAATCCATGAATTGAAAAATTGAGTCGTTAAGTCTTCATTATGGTTATTATTTATATAATGTTATTACGTTACATTACCTCGAGACGATCGACATCCATCGTCGATTTTCAAATATACCTGTATATAAATTAGACGCACAATCACAAAGAACACAGCGTGCCGCCTCTTTTCTTTGGATCTTTTTGAAACAGCGCAAGCTGGCGTTCTCTCTTTTGAGACGGTTAAAACGGTCACTCATAAAACCCGCGTTTCTTTTACCCTAAAGCCCCTCGATGTGTTTGGGCTTGTCTTGCAAGTAGCGTCAAATGCGCGAGTGCACAAGGCCCATGTCTCGAGCGGCCCTTGGAAGCAAATGGCGGCGCAGCACTGAAATGAGCGGGCCTTGGAAGCGAATGGCGGCGGAGCACCCGCTCATGGCACGTGTCTCGCGCGCTTCCACAACAATGGTTGGCGGTACTTGTAAAAAACGCTTTCATCAAGGGGCTTTATTTTACCCGGCCGCTTCCTTCTCTCATCATGCGTAGTTGGTTATAACTAAGTAAGCTATAATAATGGTGTATTATTCATATTTAGTTTCAGTTTCGCTCAGGGGAAAGGAGGTTCGCGGGAACTAGAGCCGCTAAATGAGCTGCGCTTAGAGTATCGGTACTCCGTTCCCCTACATTGTTGTGAGCGCCGCCATTTTGGTGCTTGGGCAGAGCAGACGCAACTGCTGATCGTCATTATTTAAAAGTGCGACTTCCTCAGCATTAGATTCGATGTTGGAGGCTCACGTAATATTACTTTGCTTTGTCGCAAGCTGTTTAAACATTTGTGGAGGACAAAAAAGCGTTTCCTGTGATTTCAGATAAAGCTTCAGATAACTGGCAACCATGATTTTAAGCCACAAAATGGCCAAGTCTCGCTACGCTGAAGCGTAGCTAATTTCGTGGCACTAGTGGGAACAATGAGGATGAGGGAGGCGTCGAAAGGTAGTGGATTATGGAACCCACGGGGTTTACGTCATGGCCTCTTCAGGTATAGACCCGTTGCTCTCGGGCAGGGGGCGCGAGCGCGTCCGCGAGACGCGACCATGTTATGCCGGCAGCACCATCCAGGCGGCGCTGTAACGTTCGATTTTGCAGAGGCTCTGCGATTTTGCACGTGCCACGTTCGAATGCAAGCATCTGTCACCATCTGTAGACGCGTGATAATAAAACGTCTAAAAAAAACTAAAATAAAATAATAATGCAGCTCGCGGCCTCAGTGTCCCACTCAGCTTTATAATTTTATTGCGTTCTTTCATAGCTTCCGTGAGCCCATGTTTCACTTTACGTGATAGCGAAGCTGAAGCTACTTGCAAAAACATGTTCCCCTGAACGATGCTCGCACTGCACGAGCGCGCGTGCTTGGAAGGGACACTGCAAGCTCGGAGCTCGCTCTTGTAGCCTCTGCTACCCTGACACTCAGAATGGAACTGAGTATAAAAAAACTGCAGTCGGGAAGCGTGACGACGCCCGTTCGAAACGCGAGCCAAATATTCTATTTTACTCGCCTGGAGCGCTGCTCAAAACTTGAGAGCTACGGGCCTATTACAAGCTCCTTGAACAAGGGCATGAGTAGTGTCATTAAATAAGCTACGCTTCGGAGTAACGACACTTGGGCATATTGTGGCTTAAAACTTCCTCTTCTTTTTCTTTTGTTCCTTTTTTTTTTACTTCCATGTATATAATAGCAAAAAAAAGATGATGAAGGTGAGGTGTAATACACCACAGAGATCAGAGTCAGCGCATTGTGAGTGTGACCTCTCGCATGCATGCAAGAGAGCTAGGTCACACTCACAATGCGCTGACTCTGATCTCTGTGGTGTACACCTCATCTTCATCATTTTTTTTTTTTTTGTTACAGTATACATGGAAGTAAAAAAAAGGGAAGAAAAGAAAAAGACGAGGAAGCTCTCAACACGGTGGTATACTTCATTTCAGCTCAAGTCCAGACGCAGCCGATGACACAAGCGCGAGCCTGCGGCCCTGAACAGTGCTTGCAGTGCACGAGCGCCCGTGCTTGGCAGGCACGCTGAAAGTCCAGAGCTCGCGCTTGTAGCGTCGACTGCGTCTGCAGTTAAGCTGAAACGAAGTATAGCAGACGACGCGCGAGACAGGGAAGCAAGATCCTACTGCAGCGCCGCTAGTTCTCGTGACTGCCACCTGCGAAACGGAGCTTGCTCCAGTAACATTGGTAACCAGCACACTGCTGCACGGGCTTCTGCATTTTGGTTACCTCAGGCTCTCGGCTATATGATCAATGTTTCACCAATAAACACCTTGAACACGCGAGTCCGTCGGCAACTTCCGCGTAATTTTGAATTACGCGCCAAGATCGAACGCGACCGACCCGCCGCCACTGGGCGGAAAAGGATCAGCGCATACCTCTCAACGCTAAATTAATTTACATTTGAGCCAATATTTCTAATAAATGCACATACACATTTTCGAAAGTCTGGTTTTTATGACTACTCTTTTTATTTTTATGACCTTGGCTAAACATTTTGGCTACTTCTGCCAGCTATTTAGCGGTCGGCAGTGCTGCTGTTGCTGCCATCTGACAACGTTGACATTTAGTTGTTTCGGGTGCTGGAGGGCAGCAGATAGTCGCTGCCGTATTTCGCCAATTTCGCCAGTCACGGTTGGTCGTATTGAAGATCTTGGGTCGCTTCTCATTCCGGCGATTCACAAGTTAAAGAACCATGGTCCTCGAAAGCACTGTTGTCTGGTAAGGGGCTCCCTGCGCGTTCATCTTGTCCCTCAAAAGCGCTCCGGTATCTCCGGTAGCTCGACTTCCGTGACTTGCTCGAGCGCAGGCCTAGTGTCAGTGTTTTCAGCGGTATCTCCTCGGGTCTTTCAGCGTGGATAACAGCGAATACATGCGGAATGGCGACTTCATACCGACCCGGCTGCAGGCCCAGCAGGACGCGGTGAGTTTGGTGTGCCACTCCAAGACGCGATCGAACCCCGAGAACAACGTCGGCCTGCTTACCTTGGCGAGGTGAGTGCAAGCACGCGATAGAAGCGCTGGGCCCCGGGCTCAGACTCCGGCACCCCGCGCAGCTCCGAGGTTCTGGCCACGCTGACGACGGACGTGGGGCGCCTGCTGTCCAAGCTGCATCAGGTGCAGCCCAAGGGAGACACGAACCTGCTCACGGCCATCCGGGTCGCTCACGTACGTCGAAACGCGTTTCGTCTGCATCTTTTCATCGACAAGCGTTTCGTCGACACAAGTCCCGTGAACGCACGTCGCGGGCTATTTTTGATAAAACATCGTAGTGTCGACGAAACGATCTGTCGATGAAGTATCGTTCGACGAACTGACTGGCACTGTGCGAGGCGCCGACTGCATGGCGGCTTTCTGGCGCAGTTGGTGCTCAAGCATCGCCAAGGCAAGAACCACAAGATGCGCATTGTGGTGTTCGTGGGCAGCCCGATCGAGACGGACACAAAGGAGGTGGGTGCACGGTGGCACATCACCGAGATGCAAGGCTTGTTCCCCTTTTCCAGAGCTAAACGTAACACTTGGTTTCTGGACACGGCTGGCTATTGGCCGTGCCAACAAGGTCATACAAATAGGATAACAAATGAGAGAGAGAGCAAATCGGTGGTCGCATTGCCCCCTATCGAGTGCTTAGTGTGACGTTGAGGTGGAGAGTAAGCAGGTCTTGACAACATCTATACTTCACCATAACTTGGCGGACTGTGGAGGCTGCGGCTCTTGCGAACCAATAAGGACGCCGGAGCAAGGCACGTGATAACACTCCATGGTCGAGGCCATCAGGGCCTTTTTACTGCCACAGCAACAGAGCCCTCTATGACAAGAAGTGGTCCCAGGCTTCATTTTCTTTTCAAGGCCGACGACCAGACTCGAGATTCTGCAAGGCAGAAGACTCTCCTCCCCCCACCCCTTCGGGCGAGGGAAGCGAAGGATGGAAAGAAGGGACCAAGAGGGGCGGGCATGGGTGGAAAGGGTAGGAGGGAGAGGAGGAAGCGGGCGAAAAGTGGAAAGCGCGAACTGGTCGTCGGTCTTTAACGGCAATTGAACTCGTGGGATTCCATCTATAGTGAGAAGATATGAAAAATAAAGAATAAATAATCACTAATTTATGAGTTTAAATTATATTTAAATGCCACATCCATATCCGCTCTATTTTTCTTGCCTTGTAATGCAGTGGCCGTTGGTACTCGCAGCTGTGTATTTGATCATATCCGCTTAAAACATTGCACTTTGCCCTTGCATTAGCACCCATCACAGATTCGCGACTAAATTGAGCGTAGGGTTGTGTCATGAACTGTTCCCAGAGTGCTCGCTGCTCTAGCGGACGGATATGTCGCTGCGGTGGACGTTCACCTGAAGTTGGTTGGTTTCAGAGCAGACGACTCTTGGCCAGCAGACGACAGCCGGTTCCTGCGGGCCTCGTGCCTCGCATTTGGCGTGGTGACATAAATGCTCCTGTGACGTCGGGTTACATGCCTCACTCCAACGCTCTTATTGGGTCGCGGGGCCCTAGCCTCCACAGTTCACCTGAAGAAGCGTAAAAAACACAAGGACGAGGAAGTAGACAGACAGAGCGCACTTGCAACTGGTTTTTATTTGTGAAAACAATCATATATATAGCTTCGATAGAACACATAATCTCTCCTGAGATCTGTTTAACCCCTGTAACAAAAAGGAATACTTATTCCCCGATAAGGGAAGGGACGTGTCCCTTGTGCATTTTTTGCTTTTTGCCTGGATTCCGAAGGCCTCATGCAGTTCTCTAGAAACCCTATCCGGGTATCTAGCCAGAAGCCTGGTGTCGCCAAATGGCGGGATGACTGCAGTGAGTGGCAAGATGTCCCGATAGAGTGGCTGTCATTGCCGCGGCGTGTTCTCATGCACAATCATTGAAACACTTTCCCATCTGGCCACTCCACAGTCCGCCTAGTTATCATGAAGCATGAAGCGGAGTATAGGCGGTGTTCGGCGTGGCGCAAATCGCAAGTGCCGGCATTGGTGGTTCAGATAAAAGATTAAAAAAAAGACAAACTGGAAAAAACGGATTGCTGGCGAAACGTTGGCTGTGTTCATAGTGCCAGGACGCTTTGAAGCTGTTCAGTTATTTGTTGTTTTTTTTGTTTTGTTTTATACAGCGCACTACACCAGACTTTTGCTTAGTGAAGCTAAACAAAAATCTAAGTACTGATGTTTCCAAGTAAGGTGTGGTGTTGTTTTTATTACTTTTTATTTTCTTACTTTCATTAATTAATCCCCGACCATTTACGACCTATGAAACGCATATTCATTTTTCTCACTGCGGTAGCAGTCGTAGATAAAAATGAAAGAAAATGAGCAGCATTCAGGCTCTCAACTTGAAGCCAGAACTAACAGCCACACAATCTAATGCTGATTGGATGTGCAAATGTTCGTCACAGCCGCACGCTGGTGTTGAAAAACAGCTCACGGATTGCCCAATCCACGAGCCGTATTTCACTACCGTCACTGCCCTGCAACTACGTCGTCAAGCTGGTCGAAGGAGGGAATAGAAAAAATAGTCTGTTTTAATCCGTGAAGTTACGCCGTGACAAAGGAGCTTTCGGGTCAGTGGCATTGCATGCGAGCTTACTTTCCATTTGCACTATTGCCGGCACCATCACAAAAAAGTGAGAAGCATTTGAACCCAACATCGGTGGCTGCCAATGTTGGATTGGAGGCAGACATTGGTGGCTGCCAGGACCACCGATGTCTGCCTTCATGCCCTGCCAAAATGCTTGAGAAGGCTTCTTTCCTCTAAATTGACCCCATGAACCCCCTTATGCCGTGCTCCAAAATTTACTGGATCCGAGTCCCAGAGTACCTTGGCGTTCAAAAACCTATCTTTTTCAGCATTGCTCCATTTGCGATATTAATTAATTAATTTATTTACGACACTCAAGAGTTGAGTGACCCGGATCTACTCGAGGCCGTGTCGGTTGATAACACTCAGCAACACTGGATGCAAGTGGCCAACGTCTACTGAGATTGCATGCCGGATATGTGTAGGTTTTCCAATTTAGAGGAACAGGACCTTTAGTGTCCGCTCGCACATGCAGCGGAGCTGTACTTTGGCGCTATTGTCAGTACCAGTAATTGCGCTGACATCGTATTTGCAGCGCCGACTTTGCAGTACGCTAGCGACACGGCACTTAATCCGCGCCAAGTTACGTTTCTGTCGACGCTGTTCCTGGCGTCGATGTAGCGCCATGGCACGCTTTACTAAGGAGCGAGACTGAGTCAATTTCAAAAGACGGTTTGGGCGGCCCCTGTTCACAGCTGACCAAGCTGGCCAAGAGACTGAAGAAGGAGAAGGTGAACGTGGACGTGGTGAACTTTGGGGAGGAGCAGAGCAACACGGAGAAGCTGGCGCACTTTGTGAACACGCTCAACGGCAAGGAGGGCAGCGGCTCGCACCTGGTGACTGTCCCCCCGGGGCCCCACCTGTCGGACGCCCTCATGAGCTCGCCCGTCATCCAGGGAGAGGACGGCACGGGCGCCATCGGCCTCGGCGCTGCCGGCTTCGAGTTTGGCGTCGACCCCAACGAGGACCCCGAGCTGGCCCTGGTGAGGCACCTCCCTCGACAAAAGCTTCGCGGAAGTGTGCGCTGTCTGCAAGGTGGTTTGGAGCGCTTTTCGAGCTTTGACGAAATTTATATAAGTTAACTAAGCAACGAAGCATGGCGAAACTTTTAAAAAACTATTTATAGGTGGCACTTCTATCGTATGTTAATGAGTCTAAGTTTCAGAAAAAAAAATTTCACCCTAAAAAGTTTTTTTTTTTTTTATTACGCGCGGAGAGGAAAGGAGGTAAAAATTGTACGGTTCACACCGCTGCTCGAAGATGGCACAATGTAGAGCAAAAACGTAAAAACTTCTTTGAGACCCAAAAGCAGATCTGAGCCTGTGTGGTAGTAGCATATGTGAGTGTCAGCGTCAGCCAGACTGTTGTTATTGTTTCTCTGTTTGTGCCTAGGAACAAAATAAAAATATATTATAGGCTTCATTTTTTTTTTTTTTTTTTTAATTTATTTTTATGAAATTTGAATATGCTCAGGGCACCACTATGAGGCACCTTTATAAAAAGTATAATAGACCAATGCCACCAAGTGAACTGCGCAGGCGCGCGCATTCGGGAAGTATTGCCGCCGCCATGCTACTTGTAGTCATCGCTCTCCGGCTTCCCGGCTGAAAAGGGCTCATGTGGGCGTACATCATAGTTTGGGAAGCCCTGGTGTTAGCTTGGATTCTCCTGCATATCCATACTTTATAAGATTGTGTTGTTTGTGATGCCTTAGTTTGTCATCAGGCGCAAAAAAAAAAACAGACAAACAGTTTCAGTCGTCTTATCGCTTTAGAATCACTTTTGTCGTCTGCTTCGTCATCGTCCGCTTCTTCGCCTACGTGAACGCGCGTGAACCCGCTGCGTTCACGCGGTGGTTTTACTGCAACCACGGCAAAAACAACAAGGCCACTACTCGCTCGAGCACTTTGGGTGCTCCTACGTCTCAATAAACTTGGAAGCAAGTGAATATCTACCTCAACATGAAAGAGCACAAAATTCGAGGGACCATCGGCCCAGTGTAGCACCGCGGAACAGCGAGCTATGTAGTGCACAGGCTTGGGCACAACTTTTACTCGACAATGAAGTAAGGAGAGCTCAATAGACATTCTCGGAGAGCGATAGCTTTCTAAAACTCGTTCTATTCTGGTTGTACAAGGGTACATATGAACTGTGGGGGGAAGCCTGCACACAAAGAAACGATCTACAAAAAGAACCTGCCTGACGAGCCGTAACAACTCGCATTTATCAAAATGAAACGTAACCATGAGAGATGCCTGAGAATTTCGGGTAGAGATGAGTTCTTGTGTACAGTTTCTATTCAATTTTATTTGGTTTGCTCAAGCTCCGAACGGTAAAAGCTGACCGACGGAGAATGCTTTTTTCCGCTGTGTCGATTGGTGTTAATACAGAATGGATCAGTAACGCCAGCAAAATCAGGTTGTGGAATAATAGCCCACTAAAAAAAAAAATAAGTGATTTTGAAAAAGTTGTTTTATTTCAAGTTATATATATATATACATACCGAGAATCGCTGCTCTTTCTTCGGTGATTGTACTGATCTTTTGAAGCACAGTTGTGCTCAAAACATGTCGTATCAATAACAGTTGTAACCACCAAAATGCATTAAGCAAACATTGTATTAAAAACGGTCGCCGCAAGGCAGTGTGGAAGTTCTGATTGAGATAGACCAACGGATATACCGCTACGGAGCGAGTGCTCTGAAAGATTCCAACGTACGGAACACTTTGGTACGCCATACTACGTCTCATGCCCTGTGTAAGCTTGCACTCTTTAGTTATTGTGCAATGGCGTGAATATAAATTTTGAATCAAATAACGAAACAAATCTAAAAACGCTTTTTCCTGCCGCTTTTCTACCGCTCTCTTTACCTGTTTTAGACACTCTTTTCGTGGGCTGCTTTCTTCCGGGAAGACATAAAATCCGATGCCTTTTTGCCTGGTGCTGTTATTGTAGCACCTTGGCACAGAACGGGTGAAGACACCCATTAAAAACCGTGAGTAAACGGCCAACTAAAAGTTTCGTGCTAACCTGAAAATTCCCAAACGCCGGACGTACAACGCGCCTTAACGCGGCCAGAAAACTGGGGAGAACTACAGGTACCAGAATGCACCGCGGCAGCGGTGGCGTCGTGCAACTCCTTGTGAGATCGGTCTATTGCGCGCTGTTCATCGGTGTACTTACGAAAATTGTCTTGCCGGATTAGAGCTCAGAAGCACCCCGTATAGTTGGTGACAGGCTAAGAACCGAGTAGTTGCTCCGCCTTCGGCGTATGCTCGCTGCCCCGCACCGGGCTTTGGCCGCGCATGCGACCGAGTGTTCTCAAAAGCGGAAAGCTTGCGCTTAAGACGATGCATCTATTGGGCTCTTGACTTACCACCAAATATAATAGCCACCACGCAAATTATTCCAGCCCACCATTGCTGGATCACATACTCCAAGCACATATCAGACAGGTGTGTTGCGTCGGCATTTGACGCAAACTCTGCTCGGGTCGCACGGAGAAAGAGTGCTTCTTCGTTGTTCGGCGAGGACTTAGATTTCATTTCATTTTTTTTGTATATTTGCCTTGAAGACCCGTGTCCTGTTATTACACAAGGGAAAGTAAGAAAACACTTATTTGAGCACAAAAATAAAAATTGCATAAAATTAGTAAAAAGAAAATTTTAAATCTAACAGACCCATTGCTAAATTACCCGAGCATCGAGGAGAATGTCGGGAACGTTGGTATAGACCGACACGCGGAGCGGCTCTGTTTACCAACACGGCCGGAAGGCCGCGCATGCGCGGTAGCTATGTGGGCAAAAGCGACCTGGCTGTCCGTGTTTTTGCCATTGCGCTGTGTGGCGTGCGCTCGTTGTCGACGTTGTAAGGACGCTTCTAGCTTTATTTGTGAGTCGTATTTCCTGGCAACGTATGTCGTATGCTATGCCCGACTATTTGAGCTTGCTACCCGAGCCTGAAAAGCAGCAGTATCGAATCAAACTTTGCGTGGACGGCGTTGCCTACGAGGATCCGTATGCCGTAAACAAGGCCTGCTGGACTTCCGACGTGAAGTTGCTGCAACCGAAGTCGACGGCTTACGTCGTCGTTTAGTTTTTTCGCCAAGCCAGTTCACGGCCGACACGGTGCAGGCGTACAAGTCCCTAGAGGCCTACGATTACTTTGAGTCAGTTTCCGCACTGCCGGCGGGATCAGCAGACTGTGGGTCTGCGGAAGTGTATAATACACACAGCGTCTTCAAGTCAAGTTATACTATTTTTCCTACCCTCATGACCACAAGGCATGAGAAGCAGTAGCGCTTTGTCCGTCCTGCAGTCTTGGTGGTAACAGGTTTCAAGTAACGGCGTTACCAGGAACGCATTACTTTTTTCAGTAACATAGTAACCTACTCGTTACTTTTTCGACATAGTAACGGGTAGCGTACTTACGTTACTATTTCAAGTGATGTAGTTACATTACTCGTTACTAAAATTACACTTCAATTTTTTCCGTGCTTTAGGCATCAAGCCATGTTTTTCTTTGCGTTTTTTCTCGTGAGTATTTAGGTTAAACCGTAAAAAGAGATAAAGTAATTATGTTCAGTTTCTGCATGAACATAATGTTTCTTGATATATGAGCTTATGCATACCTGCATCGTCAAAACCGTAAAACGTGTTAAATCATAATTTAAAAAGTAACGCAGGAGTAACGTGCGTTACTTTTGATCGGTAGCGGTAACGCGTTCCTTTTAATTTTAGTCAACGTAGCTCAATAACGCATACCTTTGATTTGCAAGTAACGAGTAACGTATTTCGTTACTTTTTTTCGGTAACGCCTACAATACTGCCGTTCTGTCGCCGATCCCCTTACGCTTGGTAGCACGGGCGTAGCGAGCCTCCGACGGGCGCTTGGCCGGTGCTTTGTGCGCAAACACCATGGGAACAAAATCCTGTTGGTTTCGATCAGACGACGGTTTCCCTGCACATAAGAAAGCCTTGGGACGGAGATTGAAATGGAAGCCACACTTGCCTCCAAGGAAGTGCTTGCCGCACGAACGGTCGTTCGCGCGAGGCGACCATAATTTTCGATCCACGGATATCATCCACCTTCTATGCCTTTCAGAGTCTGCCGGGAACTTGTAGAAGCTCACTCGGCTACTTTTCGTGCACATTTCGGTGAGATTAACGGCAACACAGCTTCGCAAAATGCTGAAATGCTATGACTCCCATGCGAAACGTGCGCCCTTTTGCCCACACCCCCGGCTCCGGCGCGATCGCAGCGCCACCGCAGCGCCGTGACGTCAAGCCCGCGTGTCGGTCTATATGCGCCGCACAAACTCTCCTGCCCTGCGTAAAAGATTAGAAATAAACGATAACGCATTGACAAACTCGCGTGCAAGATGCCATTTCTTTTAGGCTTTTGCCGTAGAACAGTCACTGTTGCAGACACCAGCACGTGTTGCACGTGTAACTACACTCGTAGCATGCTCCTCGAGGTCTGTGGCATGCTTCATGCCCAAAAAGCAACCGCCGATGTTGCTTGTTAAGCGCGAGACACATGGACTGCAGAATTGTCCGATCCGACGTCCGATCCGACAGTCCGAACGCCGCTCCGAATCGCCGCACGCGACAGTTTGAGACACACGCTTCCGACCTTGCATGCGAACACGACGATCCGTTCGGCTCCGCCCAGGAGATCCAATTACTCCAGCGGAGATCCGCGTTCACAGATCTCTGATCCCAGATTGACAATTTAGCTTGCACGAGCGAAGTTAGAAGCTCGTTCTCGTTAGCGCGTGCATTCTTTGCCGGGGCCATCTTTCTCGAATGGGTCAGCGGGATCCACGCGTCCGGCCTCCCGTCGCCCGTCCCGTTTTCTTGTTCGTCCCGCCAGACCCAGTACGTCATCATGACGCTCGCGCTAGCTGTGCTGTCATTGGCTGGGCGCATCCGACAGTCCGTCCGCCGTGCGAAACTATCTGGCGCGTTGGACGCACGTCGGATCGCCGATCCGACGCCTGAAGCGACCAAATTTTTCGGATCAGGCAGTCGTACTGCCGGATCGGACGTCGGATGGGACGGATTTTTCGCGCATGTGTCTCGCGCTTTAGGCTTTTGAATGGGGTATAATGTCGTTCTTATCAACATTACGGTGTCTGAATGCATCTCCAACTTGGGTAGATTCTTTTGGAAGCACGCGACAAAACAGTGGTGCCACGGTGCTGCTCCTATATGAGACGTTTTGCATCAAACACAACCAGGCTGGCTCAGAAATCCCATATAGCAGCCAACCTGAGTTTTTAAGGAATGTCAGCTTTCCGGAGTATGACGCTATACAAGACATTCGGGACCGCACTCACGGCTAGCTTATTTCACCCGAGACCGGGAAACAAAAAATGCGGATCCCCTTTGACGCACTGACGAAAACCTCCGGAGTCTTTTCTATCCCGGCATATCTACTTTGTCTGCCAGCGAGTAGACATGCTGGGAAGAGCAAAAAAAATTCTTGTGTAGATTTTATCAATTCTCGATGATTGAAATGATTGTCGTCTCATAGTAATTTTCGGACCATCGAGCACACAAACGCTTTGCGGAGGCATATTCCAACACGGATATACGAAAAATGTGGCACGGCTGCACAACCTTTGTCGGTTTTAAAAATTGTCTCTTTGGAGCAGACGTCGTGCGGCAAAGCAAACTAGCTCAATATGAGTGAAGGTTTGTTGCACTTTTTTTTCTTTTGGAGGTCATATGTAACTCGACATTTTGCAGTTTAAAGTTAGTTCAAGACACTGTGGATGATTAAGAAAAGTTTTAAAGAAATAAAAGTTGAGATTTTTTAGATATCTCAACTTTTTTTACCACATTTAGCGAAATCAACTGTTTCCGGATTAATAACACCGCTACGATAATGGCAAAGCAGGTATTTTTTATATATTTGTAAACTGCATTTAAAGTTGCTCACTTTGATACATTTTGCACCATTTTATACAAAGTAGTTTGTTTTTAAATAATTCTGGAATGTGTCTCTAAAACGTGTTTACTTCAAGTGTTTCATAGTCGTTTTTGCGTAAAATTTGTTATTGTAATTTTTACTATTCACTGTACTTGTTGTAACCTTTCATAAAATAAGTCGAAAAAAATAGTACCATGTGCGTGATTCGGTGCGAAATTTACGACTCTGCAAAGTGCCATAACGAAACCTTGGCAATCTACACTCGAGCTTCGAATTTTATATCTCAGGAAGAAAATTAGCTACGAGGTTTGTATACATTTGAATGCTTCTTCAAGAATGTGGTTTTCACACACATTTTTTACATAAATATAGAAATTGTGACCCGGACCGTCGTCGTATGCTTCGACGTAGAAATACTCTTCAGCTTCTCGCAAACCTTGAGCGCCTCCTGGAGGCGCTTGAGGTTTGCGAGAAACTGAAGGGCATTAGAAAGATCCCGAAGGTTCACGAGAAACTGAAGGGCATTGGAAAGGTCCCGAAGGTTCACGAGAAACTGAAGGGCATTAGAAAGATCCCGAAGGTTCGCGAGAAACTGAAGGGCATTAGAAATATCCCAAAGGTTCACGAGAAGCTGAAGGGCATTAGAAAGATCCCGAAGGTTCACGAGAAACTGAAGGGCATTAGAAAGATCCCGAAGGTTCACGAGAAACTGAAGGGCATTAGAAAGATCCGGAAAGTTCACGAGAAGCTGAAGGGCATTAGAAAAGTGCCGAAGGTTCACGAGAAACTGAAGGGCATTAGAAAGATCCCGAAGGTTCGCGGGAAACTGAAGGGCATTAGAAAGATCCCGAAGGTTCACGAGAAGCTGAAGGGCATTAGAAAGATCCCGAAGGTTCACGAGAAGCTGAAGGGCATTAGAAAGATCCTGAAGGTTTACGAGAAGCTGAGGGCCAGGCGTTAGAAAGACACGCCCTGCCGTCCCCATTCTGTTGCCAACCGTCTCGTCTGTCGGGATTCCCCGCCGGAGCCAGCGCACGGCGGAAGGTGACACAAAGACCCTACGCAGGCGCTGCGCGTGTCGATGGAGGAGCAGCGCCAGCGGCAGGAGGACGAAGCCCGCCGCGTGGCCTCGGCCAAGGAGGTGACTGCACCCAAGGCAGAGGGTGAGCCCTACGTCCGGATGCCTACGACCTCCGTTTTATTCTCCCACGTCGAACAGCCTTTGCGCTTTGACCAGTACGAAGGAGGACAGATGCATCTCTTCCGTGCCGGCAACTTTTTATGAGCTTTGCGAAACGAGGCCCTGCCACCCGTTGCTCACCCGAGGAGATGACTGCAGGCTTTGAACGATAGTCGCGCCACAGAAAAAGAAGTTGCACGGAGTAATAAACATGTTTGTTGAATAGCTTAAATCGAAGGTCAATGGCCAAGTGGTTCTCCAGTTGCCTGAAGACTGCCGTGCATGGGACACTTCCTCTTTGGAGTTGTGTCTGCCAGAGTCCCTGCTGTGCCACTCCTGGACACTGAGCTAGCTCGGCGTCCAGGAGTGGCGCAGTATTGCCTTCATTGCCAGTGAACCTATAAAGCCTTAAAGGGGCACTGACACATCAAAATCATATTTTTTTTTATTATCCGAAACGATTGAAAACAATGCCGGGACATTACCCTCAAAATTTGAAATTTGGGAATTCAGTATTTGTGAAGTAAAAAAACAATTTCCAAATGCCGAATTCGAAGTTCCCGCGCGGTCGGCGCCGGTGCCTTGACGTCAAAAATTGCGGAGACCTGAGAGTCGACTTCCTTTCACCACTCCCTGCTGTTGCCATGGCGACCCAAAGCGAGGAAGAAAGGAGTGCGCGGCGGCGTTGGGGCGGACCGGTTTTGAGCGGTGTCGCCTGTTTTCCGTTGGAGGATACAAATCCAGGAGACGGCACCACAACGAACTCCCGATTTTTGGTATTTCAAAAAGAAGGGCCGTAGTGCGTTCGCAATTGCGTTAAAAAACATGTTTTAGGATTGCCGTAATTAAATGTTATAGAGATGTCGCCTACAAAGCTTCTAAATTTCCTGATTTTTGACGTCACCGATCAAAAGAAGCGAGGAGGCGAGAGGCGGGAAAATCAAACGCCAAAAATAAAAAGGCGCGCGCGCGCGCGGGAAAACTTTTTTTCGCGATGCGGTTTTTTTTGCGTGTCTATGACTGCAACTTGCATCGTTTTAGACAATAAAAATAAATACGACCTTTGGGGTGTCAGTGCCCCTTTAAAGTGGTACTCTGGCATTTCTTTTATGGTCCCCGATGATTTGCCTCGAAATTGTTAACATACCCACCAACTGCTGAACTAGTAACGTAAATATTGGGCCAAAATTATTTTTTCTCACTGGCTTTTTCAGACTGGAAGTGTTGATTGGGCGATTTCAGGTAGGATTGAACAACCATATCTGGTCAACATTTTCATTCTTACAAACAAAACATTTTGCTGCTTTGTGCGCTCGTAAAAGTGTCTCCGAAAAAATTTTGCAACAAATGAAGTTATATTTTTGGAACAAAGTCTCAACATAGCTGTTGATCAGGTGCGCGTTTTGTGACTTGTGCAGAGTCGTCATTTTGGACCGTTATAAAATACAAACTGTTGTGGGCTTAGTATAGCTTGTGCAGAGACTGGACATGCAGTAGAATCAAAAAGTTTTCCATTGTTTACAAAATATTTTTATTTGATAATGAAAAATCCGATATGACACATATACAAAATTGTACAAATTTAAAGCTTTGTAGCTTCGCATAAAAAAAAAAAATTCCGGAAACCCGAAACTTCTATGATTGGTGTGCGTACATTCAAAATTCATAAAAGTTTTCATCAAACTGAAAGCGAGCATCTTTCCCAGAAAGTCAATCCAGCGTACGCAGCAGGCACGTAGCCAGGGGGGCGCCCATTGGGACCGGCCCCTCTCTCCGAAATCGGTCATTTTGCTTGGGGCCACCTCTCCTCCTCATACCGCATTTTATAATGGGGGGTGCCCCCCCCCCAAATTAAAATCGTGGCTACGTGCCTGGTAGGCGGATTGTTCATTTTGCAATATCTTGAAAATCATTTAACATAAAAGGCTATTTTTAATTTTGTTTTCGCAATATTGTTTTAGCTTGGGTAGATAAAATAAATCGCCACAGCACCCCATTAACCCTTTTGAGTGCCACACCCGAGTACCTATATTCGGGCGCATTCCCGCGTGGTCAGTTTCAGTTGGCCCCCTGCCTCTCCCAACTGGGATAAAATTATGTTTTTACGCTTATAGTGGGACGTATGAGAAAGCCACGAAAGTAATGTTTTGTCTTGCGATGTTACTTTTTTGGTGGCACGCATATATTTTGTGCTTATGCGACTTTTGTTTTGGTACGCTCCTTCATTGTTGCAGAATACCAAACCTACATCGCTCAACCTGGCACTTCTGGACAAACTTCGAGATCTAGAAACCGCCTATCAACTCGGTATTCAATGATTCTGAAGACGAGGATGTTCCAGTTCCCAATAAGCAAAGGCCGTGTAAGGCCTCTCGACGGAGCAACCACGACGTGGGAAGTCGAGGTGCCACCGCACTGTACCGCGTCCCGAAAAGTGCAATACGAGAAAACCGCCCTAGGTTGAAGGAACGTAGACATTGATTAACTTTTTGGCCCTAAAGTAGTGTCTTTTATAAATAAATATTCTTTGCAGAGCCCACTGTGTTACCGAGACGCAAAATTTGTTTGGTGTGCGGGTAAGGAGCTCGGTCTCCGAAGGGTTCATCATGGCAACTGGCATCCTGCAGGCGGCTCGACGGAAGAAGAGCTGCTGGAGCGTGCCCTGGCCATGTCCCTGGACCCCGAGCCCGTGGCCCCGGCCAGTGTGCTGCCGGACTTTGCCACCATGTCGGAGGAGGAGCAGATTGCCTACGCCATGCAGATGTCCCTGCAGCAGGCTCGTAAGATCGCTCTTTGTTTTGCCGACGCTTGTCCGAGATTTTGGGGGAAAACACGTCTGTGTTTACCCCCATCAGGTCTGACTGAAAGTGAATTAAGAGGGGGGGGGGGGGGGGGGGGGGGGGTTAATGACTAGTAATACAAAGTATTATCGCCGTACCGTGGTAACGCTAATCCATCACAAGTAAGTATGTTCTGGAGGGATGCATACTTTGGACAAAGTGTAGAGTTGCAAAGAGAGCAATACCTAGCTACTTTTATCAATGTATCCGGGGGGGGACGGGGGGGGGGGGGGAGGAGGGAGATCTTCTGCAAGGAAATTCAATTTTGCCACTTTTTTAATTGTGTGTTTTCTTAATTTATTTCTGGTCATCTTTAGAGGGTGTTTTTCAGAATTCACTTCTTATCACGAATTCGGTGCTTGTCGAATCCGTTGCTGGACTCTGAACTTTTTTTTTTTGAAAAGGGTTGAATTTTGTAATCTTTTCATTTCTTCAGAATTCTGAAAAATAGAGTACAGTAAACCCTCCTTGACTCGAAGTCATAAAAACTAGAAAAAGAAATTAGAGATAAGTGAGATACCGAATTTTCATTGCTCAGATTGCGAGCCCTTCCAACAATCGCGGCAAATAATTTGACACTCAGACGCGTGGTGCGTGTAGCAGGCACGTTGGGGAGAACAAAACAACTGCAACAAAATTATTCACAAGCAACACTCATAAGATGAGGCAACAAAACCAGGTACCAATAATGCAGCCCCCCCCCCCCCCCCCCCCCCTTTCCCAAAAGCTCTAAAAAAAAAAAGAGTGGAAGATAAGGTTCAGTTCAAAGCTTCAGTGCAAGGTTAGACAAACACAGCAGTACCTACCAAGAGAGAGAGAAAAAAAAAGAGGTAAGAAAACAAAAGTTTTTCAGTTCCCTTGCTGCTGCCATGACAAAATACTTTTTTCTTTTCTTTTTTTTTTTTTGCACATTGGTGAGCAAGGGATGACGCATCATTTTTTGTGTGTGTGTCTGGATTGTTGCTTCTTCCTCAACCAATGTTTAGGCCACAGGTTCATTATTTGATGTGCTCTGCCTGTTTTTATTTCTTCTTTTGTAATATTTCTGGTCAAGATTTGGAAAAATATCCAAGGGGGCTCCTGAAAACATTTCCGAGATAAGTGATGAGTAAATGCATTGTGCCTATGGGAGTTAGTTCCATGACAAGGAAGTTTTTCAGCTTAACCAATATTTCGATATGGCCGGGTTCAAGTTAACAAAGGACTACTGTGCCTTGTTAATTGTGAGAAAAATTCGCAAGAATATAGCACCATATACAACCCAAGCTCGTTATAACAGACCTTGATTTTTACCAAGGTTTTGATCTGTTGTAAGAGAAGTATGTAGTATGCAGATATAAAATTAAGCTATGTAGAGGAAAATCAACTGAACTTCACGAATTGGTATGTTATATCTAGAGCCCTGCGCGGATAACAGTTTGAGGATCCGCATCCGCAGACTTTGTATCTGCATCCGAACCGCATCTGCAAAGTTTTTGCATTACTGTATCCGATCCGCATCCGCGAAATGTGGAACCATGTCAATGTTCTTGCTAACCACCAGAGGTTACGATTACATTTAGACTAGCAAAATCAGCGGAACGGAAATCACGCAGAACGCACCCTTCCCCGCCGCACACGGAATCGGAAACTTTCACCTGCGGCCCCTTAACTCTCCCCTGAAGTCTGAACGCCTGAGAAAAAAAGGTAATAAAAAAATAAAAAGTTAGAAAAGAGTGGAAGAGAAGCAGTGGCAGGAAGACAAAATCCTTTCTGTGATGTTACCGAGCGTATGCGGACGCCTCAGGTCTCACGGTGTTTTCTGCCAGCCAGCGGGCAGATGCGCCGCGAAGTCAGAGTCCAAGGCCTGATCGGATCGACTAACGTGTTGTTCGAGAAAAATGGCGGCCTGCAGGTGCCCAAATATTAAAAGAAAACTTTCTTGTTGTTTTTGCTTGGGGCGGCTACGGAAGTTGCGCGCGGCAGCCGCTGGCATTGCTGGCGCCCTGGCGTCGTAACCGGACGAATATCAACTACCAGACTTTCTTGGCTAGAACTCTAAGCATACAAAAAAGAAGCAGGCAATTTAAGGGCTGCCTATGTGCGTGCGCCGCTGATTCCGAAACTTTGCAAACCGTGGCGCCACAGGGTCGCGCTCGCTGCTGAAGCACTTCTTTTGTTTTTGGTATCATGACCACACCACTCTGTGTGGAAAGGGGTAGGTTTCTTCTACTTTCTTGCGACTTGTTCGTTTAAGGTTTTCTTCGCCCGAAAAAGTTTTCCGCTCTTTCCTTGCCAAAGAACTAGCTTTCTCGGGACGATTGATGCCCTGCATTCTTTACTTTTACTTTTTTTATCGATAGCATTTTTGACGAGATGAAATTCATTAATGGAAGCGATCTTCAGTAAGAATCAGATCTTTCATAGAATCTCTATTGTTTCTTCAAAACGTGTTTTGTGGAAATAGGTTTTGTAGACAACATTTCACGGACATACATTTCATGGACACACGATTCGTCGACCCTGTACGTTTTGTGGGCACATGCCCCTGCAACGTTTTGTCAACAACGAATTTCTTCACTAAGTCGCTAAAAGCTAGCGCAACATTCACTAAGGTGTGCTTAACCAAACCATGTTCCCGTCCCCCCTGTAATCCAGGCAAGACGCTAAAAGTTTGTTTCGAAAATAGCAGGGTTGTGTGCGACAAAACATCTCAGGTTTTTCGATGGACTGAACACGGGAAGCCTTTCGATTAAACGTCGCATGTCGACGAAACAATCTGTAGATGAAACGTCAGTCAACGGACTGAATGCCACTGGGCAAAAGTGTAGATCTGGATCCGCGGATATTCACATCCGCATCCGATCTGCAATCCGCCAAAATCCATCTAATTTTTATCCGCATCTGCCAGTTTACTGCAGATATCCACGGATAATCCGCGAATATGCAGGGCTCTAGTTATATCCAAATGTCTGTTGTAACCAGGTCTGTTATTCGCGACTCCAATCCACTATAGGTGGCGCCACTCGTTTTCCAAAATGGCGGGTTTAGTGAGGGTCGGAGATATATGCCGCTGCTGAGCCTGTTTGCTTTGCTGGCTTCACAGAGCGACACAAATTATTTCTGCTTATACAAGGAAGCTAGGGTGTTATGGGCGCAAGTCACCTTTTTATCCTGAAAACAACAGAGGTATTTAGCGCAATATTTATGCCAGGAGGCACGTTTTAATTCTGGAGCGAAACCGAAACTAACTTCTATTTTGGATTTAATTTCTCGGTATATATCTTAATTTCAGATTGTTTCATAACTCAAGATGTGTCTTACACCGTAATTATTTAGTTAAAGAAGTTGCCCACGGAAAATTTTGTCCCTTTAAAGACAGGGTCTTTCATACACCTTAGAGGTAACATAGCATAATATTATTTGTTGATAAAATCTGCGCTGATATTTGTGCATTTTTGCTGCCTTTTCTCGCTCACACAATTGTCATGTGAAATAATAAACTGCGGGTTTTTCAATGGGTTTTTGGGTATTTAGATGACTAATTGCTTTAACATTTTGCCCAGCACAATAATAACAGAATAATTCCAATTTATGCAATATGTTCATAAAACGTGTGAATTAAGCGACGCTGTTCTCATTAGAAAAATTCAAAGACGGAATCCAAGTGAGGCAGCTAAAGTGTGCATATTTTTTTAAAGCAAAGCGTGACTGTTTCGTTTTACGTTTTTTGACGAAGGGCACACACAGACAACCTTTCGTGCCAGAGTCAGACTGAAGACTGACGTCTTGTTTATTAAATATAAAACAAAATAAAAGAATGGCACCTCTGGTACGGGGCGCTCAGGTTACGCGCGAAGCCGGGGGTCGGATGTTTATATCTCGGGCTGTCGGATGTTTATATCTCGGGCTCCGCGCGCAAGCGGTTGCTCTTGCTCGGTCGCTTTGGACTTTGGAGCTCGCTAGCGTCGGCGACTCCATAACATGCCTCTTTCTAAGGGAGCTTCAAAGAAGTGCCGAAACGGTCTGGCTCTTTTACACGCGGGCCGTGCCGAGAATGTTTGTGGGAGGTGTCGGCACACGTTTCCTCGGGCCTCGTGGTTGTTTCGGGGAACTCTTCGATGCATTGTTTATCTTCTTGATCGGGGAAAGGAATTAAATGCGTGCGATTTCTTCGGATCTCTTGACCCTCGGACGTTGTCCAATAAGATCGTGATGTATGGGCCTTGTTCTGAACAACTCCGGTTCACTTGAGGTTAATGACCCAAACTCGCTTTCCAGAGCCAAGTGGATCTAGTTGACGCACTCCGTGTCGCCGGTCGAAGTAGGTATTGCTTTTGTTGGTTCCTGTTTTCTTGCTCATAGCGACGAAGTTCTTTTTGGTCGGGTAGCTTTGGTTCCAGGAGCTGAGTGGCGATCGGTACGGTTGTACGCATCCTTCTCCCCATGAGAAGTTCTGTCGGACAGTATCCGTTGGGCAGAGGCGTTGATTGGTAGGTCATGAGTGTCTCGTAAGGATCTTCCGTTTTGCTGAGTGATCTCTTTATGATCTTCACCGCAGCCTCCGCCATCCCATTGCTCTGCGCATAGCGAGGGCTTGATGTGATGTGCTTAAATCCGTAGGTCTGTGACAACTTTGTAAATGCTGAACCTGTGGTTCCCGCAAACTGAGGACCATTATCAGACACCACTACTTCTGGGATGCCATGCCTCGCAAATATCGATTTGCTGTGCATTATTACGCACGCTGCTGTGAGGCTTTCCAGTCGGGCGATTTCGGGGTAGCGAGAGTAGTAGTCAACGACGACCAGCCACCATTTCCCGTGAATGAAGAAGAGGTCCATCGCCACTCTCTCCCACGGTCGACTAGGAAACTCTGATGGGATGAGGGGGAGCTTTCGGTTTTGGCCAGTCTTAATGCATTTTTCGCAATTCTTGACCAGGCGCTTGATATGATTGTTTATCCTCGGCCACCACACCGATACATTTCCCGTGCTTTGCATTTTCCTATGCCCATGTGTCCTTCATGAAGTTGTTGCAGGATATGTGGACGGCAGGATTCTGGTACCACTATTCTAGAACCATTCATGAGAAGGCTGTTTTGCACGGCAACGTAATGACAGTACTCGTAGTACTCTTTGAGGTCTGTTCCGAGATCGCGACGATTTGGCCAACCTTTATGGCTGTAGCTGGCGAGTCTTTGGCAAACATGGTCTTTGTTTTGTTCTGCCGTTATCCATTGGAGACTCGTTTGCGTTGCTGGTAGGGACGTCTCTATGTGTCAAATGAAGCAATCGATTTCTTGCATCTCTCTGTCTTGCCGCTGTGGCAGAGGGCTTCTTGACAACGAGTCAGCTGCTTTGAGTTCCTTGCGCGGAACGTGGACAACTTCAAATGAGTAGCGCATTAAACGCATGCGCAGTCTCTGATGCCGTGGGGTTAGGTCATCCAATGACTTTGATCCGAACAGATAAATGAGTGGTTTGTGGTCGGTTTCCAGTACAAAGTGCGTTCCCACGATGTAATCTCGGAATTTTTCGCATGCCCACGTAAGTGCCAAACCTTCTTTTTCAATTTCGGCGTACCTCTTCTCTGTTTCGGTGAGTGTTCTAGACGCATAGGCGATGACGTGATATGATCCATCCTCCTACTCTTGACGCAGCACGCCTCCCAGGCCGTAGGATAACGCGTCTGCCGATACAATCAATCGTTTGTTGGCGTCGTAAATTCCGAGAACGGGGCAGGTTGAGAGGATTTCCTTCCACTTTGCGAAGACTTTCTGCTGAGGATGATCCGACATGATGTCCTCTTTTGAACTGAGCAGTGACGATAGTGGATGCAGTAGGTCAGACAGGTGTGGCACGAATCGCCCTTTTTCCTACACCTGTTGCAGCCTGCGTTCTTCGCCGGGCACACGCTCCTCGGGTGAGCTTCTCGACCACACCAACGGCACGGTTTGCCTTTTGGTTTGGGTGTCGCGGTCTTCTTAGTAAAAGTTCGAACATTTCAACGTTCAATTCCTCGCTGAGCAGGTCCTGCTGCTGTCCCATTTTTGGCTGCTATACGGTCAACGTTGGCATCCTTTTCTTTTGTCGGTCGGAGTTCCACTTGTTGCTTCTTAATCACTTCCGATTGTCGCGCAGCAGCGATGGCCTTCTGCAGGTCCAGATCAGGATCCAGTTGAAGCTTTTCTGAAGTCCTGCTGTCCCGAAGACCAACAATCAGCCTGTCGCGGATCAATTCTTCCTTCAGTGGTCCATAGTTGCACGTAGTGGCTAATCCATGGAGAGCAGTGACGTACTCCTCGACGGCTTCCGTCTCCAGTTGCGATCTTGTGTTAAACATGGCTCTCTCATACACCACGTTTCAACGAGGAATGAAGTAACGCCTCGAAGTTCTTCATCACCTTCTCGAAATCTTGGGCCTCGGTGTCGGACAGCTTGAAGGTCTGTAGGACGTCTTCAGCTTGTGGTTCCATGATGTAAATGAGAGCTTCGACTTGGTGTGATGATGGTTGAGATGCCAGTCCTGATGCACTGTGGAAGCGCTTGAATCTCTTCTTCCACGCCGGCCATTCGTTAGGTGTTGTAAAACTGAAGGCTTCGGGTGGCGAAAAGTTGCCGTTACCGTTTGTTCGGTAGCACCGTTGTCGGCAGAAGTTGAGGGCTTGTCCATTGTTCCTTCGTTTGTAGTCGATCCTGCGCTTTACTAATTATTAGTAGACTCGCGGAGCGATCCCACTTCTGACACCTTGTTTCGTTTTACGTTTTTTGACGAAGGGCACACACAGACAACCTTTCGTGCCGGAGTCAGACTGAAGACTGACGTCTCGTTTATTAACTCTAAAACGAAATAAAAGAATGGCGCCTCTGGTACGGGGCACTCAGGTTACGTGCGAAGCGGCGGGTCGGATGTTTATATCTCGGGCTCCGCGCGCGAACGGTTGCTCTCGCTCTGGTGTTTGACTGTTTGTCTATCTTGATAACGATATCAGAGGTTTTCATGTGCTAAAAAAAAACAAAATATTTTTATGTAAATACTATTATGGTTAAATGGCATACTTTTGTGATCGCAGCGTTAATTGGGGGCATACATTGCCGCGATTTGTATTAATAATATAAAATATTAAAATTAAGATATTTTAATACGCAATTTTTCAAGCTCTTAAATAATTAGTTGCTTAAACTTAATTTCAAATGCACGAACAAGTATGACAATCTAAATGTGTTAACTATCATCACTGGTGCCAATTGCAGCATTTTCAGTTGCCATGTTATAAAATAAATATAGCTAGAATGAAAACATTCTAGCTATATTCTTTCATTTCAAGATTAGCTAGAATGAAAACATTCTAGCTAATCTGTGAAATTCATGTAAAATTAAATTAATTGAAGGTGCTATAAGGTAGCGACTTTTAGCAATCGGCGAGACTTCCAAAGTCGCCGCCAATATCGTTCCAGACCAAATCCCCCCCCCCAAGTAAAAAACAAAAAAGGAATCTTTTGTGAATTATTAATCTTTTTTAGACATTTATTTACTTTCATATTTACGCGCCGTCGTTTTGCCAATCTCAGCATTTCCAGATTGAAGGAACGCCTACCTGCTTTCGCGTGTATACTCACTGCAGCACGTTTTGTTGGTGTCGGAAGCCGGTGAAACAGTAGTGCGTTTTAGTATTGCGTATACGAGCGAACGCAAGCGCTGTGTGTTTGCATTAGCTTTGCGTGTTCCACACTGCGCAGGTGCGAAGCCCCAAATCGCGGTCTTGGATCGAAGCATGGCAACAACGCACACGTGCGACGTGGAGCACGCCAGCCTAACGCAAACGCACAGCGCATGCTTCTATGCGCAATACTAGAATCCTCCAGTAAGGTACAATCCCATACCGGCTGCAGCACCACGCTGGGACAGTGAAGGTTGTTGTTTGCATTCGGAAATGACATTTCGCGAGCCATAATGGCGAGGAGTTCCGCTGTGCGCGCTGAGCAGGAGAATCGGGAGACCCTCACTAGAGCGCTTCCTGTTTCCGCCGCAGGAGGGCGAGCAACGAGCTGGAGGCGCGAATAGTGACCTTAGACTGTACATGCCACAGGACTAATACTATCCGGCGTGCTTTCGTTGAGCTCGAACACGATTGCTGCTTGTCGCGGGTCGGAGATCGGGTGCACTCAGGGACGACTTTTGGCACCATTTCAAATGCGAAAAGCACACATGCACAACGTGCATGTGTGCTTTGACTGCAAAATCGCGGGAAGTTGTCCCAGAGTATAGTGACGAGGTAATTGGCAGGCCTCATCTTCAATAGTCGTCGACCGACCGAACAGCAGGGTGCCTCTTCGGGATGTCTTCAGCATGCACTCGTGCCTTCCGGGGGGGTTTTAGCTGCGCGTGCAGGTTCACGAGAACCTGCAGCATTATCAAATCTATGGCGGAAGTTCCCAACCGATGTTGTGCGCAGCATCGAAGCTACACATGACGTTGGTCGAGGCAACTCGCGGAAAGGTGTACACACCCCGTCCTTTGTTGGTCGCAGAAGGTGCGGGTGCGGCGGCGGGCGAGGCGGAGGAGCCCATGGAGACGGAAGAGCAGCCCCCGAAGGAGGTAAGGGCACCGGGGAGAGCGGGCAGGGTGGGCAGGGTGCTTCCCTCCCGCACCGACGCCGCAGTGAGGGGGGCGCAGGAGGAGTGCGAGCCCATCCGGGACCCGGCCTTCCTGCTGGGCGTGCTGGGTAGCCTGCCCGGGGTGGACCCGCACAGCGAGGCCGTGCGCAGGGCCCTGGGCTCTCTCACCCGCTCGGAGGACAGCAAGGACGAGGAAGGAAAGGACCGCAAGGATGCCCCGAAATAACGGACCCAATAAACCCCGTCTGCCCACGCACGGACTCGCCTCTTCTGCCGAGCTTGGAGTCGCACATGGAGCAAAAGCTTGCACTGCAGAACCCGGAGATCCGGGGTCCGATCTCCGCACCTGTCCATTTCGAGCTGGAGGAGCGCTGTGCAGTTGCATATCCCTATTGCGTGATGTGTGTCAGTGATCCCAGGCCAGCAGTAATACTGCACTGGCTGAATTTCTCGTGTACAGAGAAGACACTAGAGGCTGGGGTTGACTAACTTCCCGATGGAAATGCAATTACTACTTCGGTACCCGGATAAACGCCTTCGTCCTTTTAATGTCCCATCCCAGCCATGCAGCGTTCTGCCCTAGATCACCCTCCAGCTCAACAATTCTTAAAGGCTTCTGCAGCCAGATGCCGGAATGCCGCGACGACAGTCATGTCCGTTCGCTCCTACTTTTTGGCGGAACTTCCGCGACCAAATGCCAGGATCGAGACTGTGTGTGTCACGCTGGCTTTTGCGACTTAATTTGTTGCCCCTTTGAAACTACTTTTGATGCATGGTGAGTAAGAGGCACTAAGGTAAGAGTTAGAGATGCGATCTGGTGACCATAACTGTACTGTTTGATGAACACCATTCCATTTGACGACGCTTAACGGCTGGCCCAGTTTTTTTCTGTTGGTATAAAAATGACTGGATGGGGCAAACTACTGCCCAAAAGCAAACCAGGTGAAAATAGGGAGTAGGATAACTTTTGGTGTGCGATAAAAAAAGTTGGAAAACTGCTAGTTTTATATTTTGTGACCCGCGAAACTTTCGACTGCAGGCAGGGGCGATGAAGCGAAGACTATTTGTCCTTCCCAGTCAGCAACGTTTGCTTATCCCCTCCCGTGGCTAAGTGACACTACTTCTGTCGAGGTCACCATTGGACAAGGCCCTGCAGTTACTAGAACTTTTCTATCGTTCGGTGTTTTTGGAAAAATGGCAAATGATGCCAAAAAAGGGGGTGGGGGGGGAGTTATTTTTAGAGGGTGAAGCATGGTAGGGATAATGCGGTACTATCGCTGTTACGCTATTCGCGACTCCAGCAAAACGGACGCCACCAAGCGGGAAAACCGGGAACCAGCCAGACCAGATCGCTCCGCGTCTCTGGTGGCTTTCGCGGACACGTCTTGTCGGCACGGTGGCGAACAGTAATTTCACGAAGGTCCAAAACTTTCTTAAGTTTGCCCGAGTGTTCATTAGTGTGGTGAGGCCTCAGCAGATTGTTTCCTTCGTTCACTTGTTTGAAAGCCCGTTTACTCCCCAACACACGGTCGCATGTTTTCGATTTCTTGGATGGGAAGATTTCGCGGAAAAACGTTTTGATTTCTTGTCTGTCTCTAATCATATTCAAAGTGATGACTACTTGGTAACTAATAACCGGTTTCTTTATAAGGATGTAGACTGAGGACGACAGACGGTGCGTTGGCTATTCATCTTGGCTGCTTTTTGCCGAAAAAGCCTCTGGAGTCTGGACCACTCTGAAGGAGTTGGGCTGATTTCGCAATTACTTGATTCAGGAAAACCTGTTCGCTGCAAATGATGAATGAAGGAAATTATTGGCTGGGGGACAAGTCTCGCAACGTTAGAAGCTGTCGCAGCGTTATGATCAATCGCGCCTTCAATATTTATATTATACCCCCGTGGAAGCCAACAGCAATATACGTCTACATTGCTCAGGCTGACCGGCCACAAAAAAATACTAATTTTTTCTGTTCAGGATTCGAAGTCAAGTTCAACGCCAGAGAGGTTCTGCGTGAATCTCCGATGAAGACTCTCTTCAGTTTGTCTCCGTGCTGCAGGCTGGAACCATTTTGGCTAAGTTCAAGTAGTATCTCTCTGTCTGTCAAATATACTTTTATTCAGCAGTTGACCTAATAGCTAGTCAACTAAGCTTATATTTTAATCCGAACAATATACTAATATCGCTTTAGTGGGACATAGTACGTAGTATAATAAATGAACCGCTCGTCAAAATGACTTCTCGATTGCTGCTAAAACCTGAATTGAAATACGAGTATCAGCTGCTTAGTCGGGCGCCGGCGGGTTAACATGTTCCTTGGCTCAAGAAGCGCTTGCTTAATTTTCGTAATTTTCCTGCAGCCTGTGTTGCTGACCGAGCAGACGACTGAAGCTCTTTCTTAAATGCGGATACGCGCAAAAGATTGGTTTTGCGGACAGTTAAGTCGCATGGTCGAGGCATGCGAATTAGCTGAAAATTACTCTCGGTGGAACAATTTGTAGTCATCGCTGCTTTCCTTATATGATCAAAATTGATTAGTATATTACCGTCTCTCCGCACCCATGGTTTCGGTTTTGAACGAAATCTCCGAAACAAAAGTTTGACATGAAAAGAACGAAAAAAACACCGGGAAAACAAAACTATGCTTTGCAAGTTTACGTGCACCGGCTACACTTAACCGTCTCAGTTCAAATACCTATAAATTTGGGCACGAAACAAAAGAAAATCTGTTAAATTGAACGCGCCACCTGTTCAGGCGGCTCGGCCGGGCCGGCGCGACCTGGACTTTGCCGCCATGTTTGTTTCGTGGTGGCTCCCCCTATAGGTCGCTGGAGTTTGCTTCACTTGTAGATGACCTACTGCCAAAGGTAAACTGTTTCCATTGCCTGGTGCTCTCGGCATTCGGTGTCCTCAATGTAATGGTGAGTTAAACTGATTAGTCTCTGCCCAAAGTGCACATGCCACTGTGCCAGCAGTTTCCTTACCTGTTTTTTAAAGCCATTTCGGATGTCGCATGTACTCGGTGGCGGATCCAAGGGGGGGACGGTGGGGGCGATCGCCCCCCCCAAACGCCTCACCAGGCAAGCCCCCCCCCCCCCCCCTCCCCCGGGGTTCTTCGTCAGCTCGAAGAAAAACTGTAAGCAATCGATGCGAGGGACAAAAGATTAAAACAGCGATGGGTGGACGCGCCTGCTGGGCGCTTCCAAAGTGGGGTTTATCTCTGTCAAGGCCACGGTACGTCTTCCCGACAGGGACGGCGCCAGGAGTTTCGAAGTGGAGAGACAGTGGGAAGGCGCACCAAATATCAGGGTCCTCGACTGCAGGCACACTTCCAAACAAGGCCAGCACATCGAGCACGGGGGGAAAATACCTTCAACATATCTAGTCCCCTTTCTCTCTCTCTCGCTCTGTCTCCCTCTCTCTCTTTGGAGGTTGTCTGCAAAAATATTGTGCCCTGAAAGCTCCCAAACGCAGGCGCCAAGCAGCCTTCCTCAAGGGTACGATCCTATACACAGCGGATTATCCTTCCTCTCTAGCGGCTGCCTTTTCATCACTTTTCGTTTGATGGTTTCTTTGTGGTTCTGGGCTTGTCTTTTGGCATGTCTTTTTTGGCTTGCTTTGAGATGCTGTCGCCCACGGGCTCACTAAAGGTATCTTATTGGCGCGGTGTGCTCATTGCCAAGGGAGGTGCGGAGGGGACGTACCAGGAGGAGGCGTTCCAGGGGGGGGGGGTGGTGGGGGGGATGCAGCTTGTACAACCAGGTGACCAATTGCTGTTCTTCGCAACTGAGAGAGGAAGCAAATGCTCTGGGTACAGTGTAGTCTGGGTCTGAGCTTCTCCTGAAGACGCTCCAGATTTCCCCACGACCTTGCTTAATCCTTGCCTCCATCCCTCACTGAGGATCAGCGCCGCAGCGCGGAATACAGAAAGAAGCCGACGAGTGCCAGAAGGGGGAGGTGTTTCCTCTAATGGGCTTCATACTGCCTGGGGTACGACTTCTCAAGGCGGGAAGCTAATAAAAGAAAGATAAACGGTACGAGCACTCTAAAGGATGGAGGCTGCTTACACGGGGTCCTCAAGCTGACGCCGTAGGCATTTATTTGTATACACTGCCAATTCAACTTAGGGTGGCGGGACATATTTTAGGAAAGGCGCCCGCTACCCCTTGTCGTTCCTTGGCGCCGTCTTTACTTTTCGAGTTAAACGCGGCTTCTGTGAATTGACGGCAGAGCTTTCGGGCGGCTTTGCAGGAGTGAATATGTGTGTGTCGAACGGAACAGAGGGCAGGGCTTGCTAGTTTGCAACTGCGGCTTCGAATTCCCTACCTAGGGACTTGAGGAGAATGAGCAAATTAAATAGACAGTGCCTGTGCTCGTTCGAGTGAACACCGACTCCCAAACATCCATGCTGCAGTCGTGATCGTCCTTTAGCTCAGTTGAGATTCGCCGACCGGACAACCGCTCTGCCCCATCATATCTCTGCACCTGTCCTCTCGACCCTGACAAATGAGCTAACTACCCAGAAACAAGTAAGTGTTCCTTTCATACAGAAAATATCCAGACGAAGTGCAATTGAATATAATTTGGAAGGATCCATTGCTGGTTTAAGGTTTTGTCTAAGTTTAAAAGTTATAGTTACCAAACTGCTGCATGCTTTAAAAAATATTCAACAATTATTCGCTTTCGTTCTCTCGAGTTGTATCCAGAACACGTGAAAACACGAGTTTGGGTTGGCAATGCCGTATGTGCTGCGCTCTGGACATTCCAAATATACGGCGAACAACCGACGAACTTGCCTGTCAGCGTTCGTTTCGCTCGCTGCGTCAACAGTGTTTGACGCCGCGAGCAGCGTCGAAGCCGCCGGGCCATTTTTGTCGCTTGTTTGCAACATACTCGCTCCATTGAAGCAACCGGCGGCAATGAAAAGTATGTTTTAAAACCACGTTCTGCATTTTGGCACTGAATATAAAGTTCTAACTACTGTGGCAAGCTTAATCTAAAAAAACAGTCGAGTTTTAGATAAAACGGTTTTCGCACTGTATAGTTGGCAAAGTTTGGTTTTCCGTACATACTCTGCGGGTGTAACAATAATATATAAATATTCAAGCAAAAGGAGCCCAAAAGTTGTAGTCCCGCCGGGGATATCTGAGCCATCAAGTTACACTGTCTGCAATGGACCTTTTTCCAGTAAGGAGCGCCTCATGACGGTTTCGCCGCCTACTACAAATGGAGGGCAACCGGACTCGCCTTCTCCCACGGAAACAGATTAGTGTCGCAAGAAAACAGTGCCCCCCAAGAATGGCGAAAGGGCGGTCAAGGTCAAGGGAAAAGGGTGTGCGCGTGCGCAGACGCTTACTGGAAAAAGGTCCATTGTCACAGCCGCCCCAAACATTCATCCCCAGTAGTTAAACTTCCTTTTCTATTTCTAGCGCGCTGCCACGCAAATGGAGTAATCCCGTTTCCTATGAACTACAAAATTCCTTGCGTTATGGTGTTCAGAAAGGATAGTGCCAACGCAATTTTCGAGATTCTTACCTCTGGCGTGGTCACCCGAAAGGTTTTAATTCAAAGAGTACATCCCCGACAGGTAAACCGATACAAAAGCTATCAAGATCTATATTATGTTATCAGAGTTTAGTAAGAACGATAACTCCGCAAAAAATATAAACTCCCCCCCCCCCCCCCCCCCCCCTTCCGCCGTTTTACACCGAGGAACCGCCCCCCCTAAAATGGAGGTCTGGATCCGCCCCTGCATGTACTGATCCCCAAAATTAATGTTGCCATTCATTAGACCTTTCGACCACAAACTGGGGAGTTTGTTTTTTTACAAAATGACATTTGCCAAGATGTACATTATCCTCAATGCAGTTTGTCAAATGGATGGTGTGGCCCTGCTCTTCAATCCATTTCTCACCTGCCACTTTTACAGCGGAGGAGTTGAGCCCTAGTTTCCCCAGGATTGTGTCCGTCAGCATACAAGTGATGACGCAGAACTCCAGACAGCTAACACCATCTATGAGCAATGGCGGCAACCAGACAACCAGCTTGCCACTTGTCTGGTTGCTGCCGTCGCTCATGGATGGCAGCAACCTTTCCAGCCTTTCCACTCTGGCTTGCCGACTTGCGGCCGGCCATTACTTGATTTCCACCATAGCACAGCTTCGCTGTTCTTTTTTCCTTCACAAAAATGAAAAACAATTTTTTTTTTTTTATGGAAACAAATTAAGCTCGACGACTGGACTGGTCATCGGCTAGCTAGCTCTCCCTGCACTTGGGAAGATTTTAGCACGAAAGTGCCTTGACCAGTGAAATATTGACTATAGAACTACCGTAATATCCCAAGTCACCCCCCTGAAAGTCATAGAAAAGTGGGGTGGGCCATGTCTCGGTGGGTATGCAGAAAACGTTTAGAAAGAGCTATAAAAGCGCTTATTTCTCTGGACATAACTAGTGCGGCTGCGCTAGAGATACATTAAACTGAAGACCCAAATTAGTTTCACTGTTTCATGCAAAAATACTTATGAAAATGTTTTACCATAGAAAAGTCTGTTGCTCGCATACGCACGATGCACACCGCCGATCACGAACGTTTCTTCCACAAAAGCATGTTTTTAGCACCGCTATGTTCTCAATGGTGAAAACCAAAGAAATAAAACCAACCAGGCACGTTGAGCGAGCGGGCAAAAGAAGCGACGAAGGCGATGCTGGGGAAGCGGGAAAGCCAGCAGTCGCGTTGGCAAATACTCTGGCATCGGTTTGGTTCTACCTCGATTGTTGCATACATGCGTGCGCCCAAGTGTGGCGTGCTATCAATGCGGGTTAAGGCGGCGTTGCTGCGGGGCGTGGACGGCACCACAAACTCTGAGCTCGAAATGGGACGCCTGGCAAAAGTCTGTGTGTGGCGTCTCAGTAAATCTTCACTTACCAGCCGACTTTGTCTCAAACATTGCACAGCCTTACTGACCGAGCCGCGACGTTCCGGGAGAAGGAGCGGGTTCACGGTGACCGTAGTTTGGTGGGGACCAAACTTTGACCTTACATTTTCTACTTTGCACTCCGTGGTTACATTCCAGGTTTAGGGGCGTTCGCTGATCTCGCGATCCCTGAATGGGTAACTGCTTGCGTTATCTTTCTGACTTTTTTTAATGCGAAAGCATTAACTGTCCCATGGAGCGAACCGACGTCGTCAGCCGTCCAGTGACTTGTACGCTGCCCAGAGATTGCAGAGCCAGTAGCTTGCTTGCCGAGGACAGCGATTGCACATTCACCAATAGTCTACTGTCCTTGTTGATTTAAAGCCACGCCAAGCGGCACCTTTCACTGTCTCAATGGAGCAAAGCCTGTCGTCTGAAGCAGAAATCTGATGGATAGGCTCCCACTAGCTGGCGCGCGTCATAGTTTCAAGGAACGAGGGTCCCATGGGCTCTCTCATGGCGTAGTTCCAAGGGAAGCCAGCAGAGAAGCCCTCTTTATGGTGGTGCAGCGCACGCAGCGGCCTGGTCGCCGGTAAGAGGCAGCGCCTGGCCGTAGAGCCTGCACGGGCAAACTCTGAAGAGGCTGCACGGCTGAGCTCAGCACGACGCAGTCACTTCACGAAAGCGCGCGCCCGGCCGTAGGCTGCTACCTCAGCAGTAGCGAAACGTGGCCACCTATTCATGCTTTCGCATTCAGAACTCCTAAAAAGCGCTTAAATGTCCCCAGATTTTTTTTTTTTTTTGTTTAAACAAATTTTTTTTTTGTAAGCAAGATTAAGTTTTGTTTTGTTACCTCCATTGTTTTTTTTCACGCATGTACTCTAACTTTTGAGTCGCGGAAATATGGGAGGAAATGCATGAACGTCAAGTGCCTTTCTTTCCATTTTACTTCGTCACGGACGTCCTCCAATCGTAAGGTGTGTGGCCGCATCATTCGGGTAGGCCGAATGTTTACGGATCGCGGAGTCTACGTTGGGGTATTTGTAGGGGTGGACAACCATTCTGTATTTTGGAAACTACCGATGGAATGAGAACAGCAGGGTGTGTCTTTCAAACGCCCGAACTCCAGCACACGCTCCATGCCGCTCGAATTGCATGAGCTGCCCAAGCGTCTCCTTAAGTAAATAGCTCGTGCTGGAGGCAGGGCAACTGGAAGCTCCTCCGTGCCAAACTGTCTCCGGGGGTACACACTGAGGAAAGAGCCCAAAACACGCTTTCCAACAGATCTTTCATTGGAGGCAAGAAACCACAGATCTTGTTTCGGGTGGCTCTTGGGGTGCCACACACGATTGTTCCAACAACCACCGGTGCACCACAAAAGTGCGAGATGCAAAATTGCAAACATGCTCAGTGTTTTGTCGCCTAGATCACACTGGCCACGGCGCTGACCAGTTCACGAGCCTCGAACGAGGGTTGCCCAACGAACCGTCGGAAGGCTTGTGCCACAGTCAACACTCTCTGGGCGTCCTGAGCTGTGGCGACACTGCTGCAGCGCGGCCGGAGCACGGCCGCGGCACAACTACGACGGAGCGGCTTCTCGGGAGCCGCGGTGGACGGTCGGAATGGCTTGAGATTCACTGGAGTCTTATCACAGCTAGCAGCGGAGCTTGGCAGCTGCCTTCATCACAGAGAGGGGCATGTTGTACGTCTCTTGAGCCAGCTTGCAGGCCGCAATCGTGAACAGCGAGCTCTCTGCAATGAATGGAAAGAACGGATGTCCAGTGTCACAACTACGCCGAGATTCGCAACAAGTTTTAGGACTCTAGTGATTAGAGACATCACTCTCTTCGCTACGAATGACGCAGCAACCGTGGTAAAACCGACTCTACCAAGCCTAAAAAAAGCGTGCTCACTACACTCAATTTTTTTTTTTTTTTTTTCAGTGTGGTGCATTACTGAAAGCATGCATTGCATGATGATGCTGTTTGTACTTTTCATTGTCATCACTATCGTTTCTGACTGGCACCGAAGTATCGGCACTACCTGTAAACCGCTTTTGCAAACTGCAGTATGTCGTAGCACCGAGTATGTCCCTCTTGGGCAGCGAGGCCATAGTGCTGAATTTTTTGGGGGTCCCTATCATTTCGTCGAAACTCATTTAGTGGACAACTTTTCATGGACACACGTTGCGTCAACACAATTATTTCATCCGACACTTATTACGCGAATTGCATGCTGTAGGAACATTTCAATACACTTGTATCCCTAGGATAGTGATACAAGCGTGTAACACCCCCTCTCCTGTGTTCACGCCGCTTTGCCACGACAGTGCGCGGCGGCTCATTAAAAAAATATTAACCAACCTGACCGACCCATACACTCCGCTTCGCAGCGATAGTCTCCTGCAGCTTATTACAAAAAAATTTAATCAGAGTTATCGATCAAACGATTTGTCGATGAAACATCGCATGTCGATGAAACAATCTGTAGATGAAATGTTCAATGAACGGATTACCACCAGCTGGATGGCCTAGCTACATCACTGGTGCTGTGTTCGGGGGAAGCTCCTGTCCTCACTGACTCAAGGTGATGCAGCTCTCTTGTCCAATCTGCCCCACATTGGCCTTTTGTAGGTGACGCCAAACATTCAGCACTACGACCCTGCTATCTGGGATGTACTCGACAAGAAAGAAAGTGGCAAAGGAAAAAAATTCATAGGGGCGCCAGTTGCTGACATGATGGAAATTTTAAAACACCCTTACCTCACTGGGCGGCTGAAGCACAAAGATCTACGACGAAAGCAAGTTTATGCGCGAGACAACCACAGTTAAAATTTAGGAATCTTTTGTGGCATGTCCTAGAAAAGATAGCATAAAATGGTTTGAAAGTACTGTTGTGAATGGTACTAGCTTGAAAGCCAAAGACTCGAGAAGTCTGCAGAACGAATTACAAAGAATCCTCGTGTCGCACGTGGACTGCAGCCGTTACGACTGCTCTGATTGCGTACGTGAGCTTGTGGCAATCTAAGAAAACTGACTTGCTCGTGCATAGAGTATTGGATGAAAAAATAGTGACTAACGTGGTCACTGCATTACTGGTGAGCTGAAGGTGTTTTTAGATGCAGATTCCTCTACGGATTGTGCTCAACTGCTAACCAGTGAAAACAAATAAACTGTTGCACGTATAAAATCTTATGAACTAAATTTCTGGAAAGCCAATCGAAATCAAAACTGAGCAGCCAACTGGCACCCAGAATGCATTGTGCCTGGTGCCTTGCCACCGGAATTACTTGGGATTTAGAAAATGTCTAATGGCCCCTCGGCATTGACCATCGTTAAAGATGCTCTTTAGGAGAGGACACTCAGCACGGAAAATGCTGCGACGCAATCGACCAGGGTGCACGCCCAAGTAGCCTAAGCCGACAGCTTCGCTGGTCAGACGGCAGAACGGAGAGGTAAAGAAACAAACGAAAGCAAAAAAAAAAAAAAAGTTTCTTTGCCATCATAGCACTTGGGTGCATGCACTTTCCGCCCAAGCGTCTGCTCCGACCTCGACGGACGCTGGCTTAAACCCTACGCCAGAGATCTCCGCTTAATTAAACGTGTTCATAAAACTGTTCTTGCCCCTGTTGAGGCATGAAACCAGAGTCAATGATGAAGCTGTTTCTAAGCAACGCACGTAACACAAGTGCCAAGTTCTACATGACTTGGCACACCCAGAAAACGACTTTAAATACGAGCATGTCTCTCATAAAGAAGCACGGAAAACCGAGCTTGTGACAGGCTACCACTAAGTCCATTGCAACCCAAGAAGGTAGGTCGAGGGAAAGGAAAGCCAGGGAGGAGGAAGCAGACGGAACGCTAGAGAAGGAAGGGGGAAACCTCCTCCTCTCTTTAGCGTTCCGTCTGCTTCCGTTCCCCCGGCCTTCCTTTTCCTCGGCTTACATTATTGAGTTGCAAAGGACTATAGCCTCTATCGAAAAGTTATCTGGTGGTGCCGCTTGCAACCAAGGCGAGGAGAGGACTTTATACGACAGCTGCGACACACGCAGTGTCCACATCTTTTATATCTTACGCCATGGCAGTGATTAATATGGCACCAAACGCTTTTTGTGTGATGGATTGTTTTTGCAGGAATAGTTGAGATTGACCGTAGCGAACGACACGAGCCAGTGCAACCAATCTGGCGGGGAGGAGCACGGGGAACATACCACGTGGTCGGGCGCGGAGACAGCGCGCGCTCTCAAAGGGCTTTTCTGTCACATCGTGTGCGATCCATGTTGCGAACCAGAAAGCGTAAATTTTCTTTTACTTTTTTTAACTTTTTTTCTGTTGCCAACCGTCTGGCTGCCCCACGGCCGGTGGGCAATTTTATGGGACGTTTAGTGACGTTGTGCAAACGACCATTTTCGCTTCTATTGCACACGGCACGGTTGATGCCAAGTCGCTGAGTGTAGAACAAAGGCTGAGGTCGGCTGTTACATTGCAGCAGTTACTTTCATTTAGCGCAGAGGCAACGGTTGGTTCACTCGAGGTGACACCAAGTGGCAAGTACAGGTCACTGTCCATTGGCACCATTGGCACTTGAAGAGGTTGCGAAGGGTGTATCAAGGAAGGAGACCGCAAACAAGTATGGTTTGAAGAAAAGCACGCTTGCCACCTTGACTTCTTATAACAAAAAAATCATTGAGGCTCAACAAAAAGAGCAGTTTGATAAAAAAAAAAAAGAAAACAGCTGCGAACGTCGGCGCACCCAAACGTCGAAAAGGCTGTGCTCCAGTGGATCCGTGACATGAGGAGCCACGACTTGGTTCTTAGCGGAATGTCGTCTGTGAAAAAAAAGGCTCAGGTATTTGCAAGCATTCTCGATGCCCTCGACTTCATTTGTTCAGATGGTTGGTTGTCAAGGTTCAAGAGTCGGCACCAGCTCACATTCCATACAATCTGCAGCGAGCAGGCAGATGTCGATCCTGCAATGTGCGAGCCTTGGAAAAATTACCGGCTGCAAGACATTTTGAGGACATTCCACCTAGATGACATCTTCATTTCAGATAAAACTGCTCTTTACTACAAAATGCTTCCGGACAAAACGCTAGCATTCAAGAACGACCTGTGCACCGGCGGAAGGCGCGGCAAAGAGTGACTAATTGTGTTGATAGCTGCCAACATGTCCGGAACCGAGCAGTGCCGCTTGCTCGTTCTGGTGAAAGCATCCCAGCCACGTTGTTGCAAGGGAATTAAAATTTTCCCAGTTGACTATGCAGCAAACTCCAAAGCCTGGATGACAGCAGAGCTCTTCAGGGAGTGGATTGTCAAGCCGGATCGGAAGTTTTGTCCCCATCGTGGACAACTGCAGTGCACATGTTGGTGTCCAAGGACTGCGGGCAGTGCGCATTCAATTTTTGAAGCCAAATCTGACAGCGACCATGCAGCCACTCGACCAGGGTGCCATAAAAAGCTTGAAGGTTCTGTACAGGAAAATGCTGCTGCAACGGATGATCATCTGCTTTGAAAGTGGCAAGGCCTACAATATAACCATACTTGGTGCAATGCACATGCTCGCTCGTGTGTAGGAGCTAGTTAAATTGGAAGCGACTGCCAACGGTTTCAAGACATTCATAGTGCCCACGGATGCCGTGTCTTCACCGGACGCTGGAGACAATGGTGGGTGCTGCTGGCGGGGAGCTGTCTTCCGCCAAAGACTCGGATTTGCACCCTGTCCTGGGTGACGTCTCGTTTGAAGACTTGGTGAATGTGGACAATGGTGTCGCAATATGCGGGCAACGTAGGGATGACTACATCGTGGCTGACATGACCGGCCGTGGGGTGAATGCGTGGGATGAAAGCGAGGAGGATACCCCCCAAGGTACCCCATCCGAGCGCCAGAGCATTTTAGACGTGGGGGTGGGAGTTCAGGCTGCTGAGCTGTACTTTTCCCACGAGAAAAATGCCAAGTGCGTGCTGAGGTGCATCGCTGCTCTCCAGAGCACGCTTTTGGACACATGTTTTAAGCGCAGATGGCAGCAGACCCTCCGTGAGTTTTGGACAATAAAAGCAGATAAATTTTAACCATTGTTCTCTCCTTTTTTTAAGTCAATCATTCGGATAATTCAACCAAATTTTAAGGTCTCGTTGAGGTCGAATTAACGAAAGTTTACCGTATCTTCAAATAGCCATATTCCCACTATACGGCCATCAATTTGTTTGTTGCAAATTGCGAGCAAATGTGGACTGAATGCACCAAAGCAAGACTCACGGTCAGGCAGCTGATGCACTTGGGGCGGAAGGTCTGCAAAGTACAGCTGGTGCAGCGCCTCGGACGCAGAGATCCGATCCTGGGGTCGAAGCTGCAACAAAAACGGGCCATGGGCAACATTAAGGTGCCTCAGCTTTGTGCAAATATTCAAAATTTCAAATAGTAACCTACTATTTTCTATTCAATTGATGTTGAAGGAGTCAAAGCTGCAGCGCAAATGGGCTATGGGGTTGCCTCAGCTTAGTGCAAATATTCAAAATTTTGAATACCGAATGTACATTTTTATATTCAACATGTCAAAACTGCAACAGAAATGGGCAATGGGCAACCTTAACTTGCCTCAACTTAGGAAAAATATTAAAAATCTCCAGTACCAACTGAATATTTTTATAATAAATTTCTATTTGATTAAAAATTTTCCGAATTACTACTTTTCAAATATTTTTTGTCGAGCAAGTATTATTCGAGCCAAAAAAGGACTAGAATTCCTGCAAAAAATGTACAAGTGCTGAAACTTTTAAACAAATATATTTAATACATTGTAACTAAACAAAGCTGCGGGAATAGTCTCTGGAAAGTACCGGTATGATGAAAGCATCAGTGCATTAAAATTATGTCCAATTTAAGCTCCTGTAGTTTTACAAGAAATATTTAATGACTAAACATCACTAGATCTTTGCAGAGTAGCACCAAGCTCCCTGTATCGTAGCCATTTTGGTTTATGGAATGAGCGGTTTCTCCTCAATTTTTCCATTCTTGCGCAGCTGATCCGAATTCGCAGTGACAGGTTGCTTTATAAGTACATTTCCCGCTTTTGCTCATTTTGCGGGCTGGCTTGAACCGGCCTTAACACTTCTCTGCGGTAAAACCCTCTGCGTGTTGCAGGTTAAAATTTAGGAAAACTGAGCAGTCCCGTATTAATCCACAGTACAGTTACAGCAATAGCTGCGACACATCACGGCAGAGTCGTTGGGCATCGGCGTCGCGTTCACACACCGTGAAGTGAGTGAACAAAGGCATTCGGAACAAAATGGACATCTGACCATTTTGTTCCAAACACTTTTGTTCCTTTTTCTGCCGGAGCATGAAAAAAGTGTGTGTCTCCCGGTACAAGCTCTTGGCAATGACAGTGGTACATTTGTTAGCTTCTTTTTTTTTCTTCTAGAGAGTGTGTGCAGTGGGCTCTGGGTACGATAAAAACCCAAATATAAAGCGGGTTGTTAACGTTGTGGCACAGCTCTGTGCTAGTACCTCCGCTTTGCACGCAACGGACCCGTGTTCAATCCCCGCAGGCAGCGGGCAATCTCTTCCGATGATTTGGCAACATGAATGACAGACGCCCTGCTACACCAACTACAATACTATCAACAATGGATGTCGTTTCTGGTGGTGGGAAGAGCCGATAACAGCAACCGCTGTAATAAATAAAGTTTCCTCGCATCTGCTGTGTTGTGTAGGTTATAGGAACCTAAAAACATTTAAAGTTAAAAATGTGAAAACTTGAAAATTCAGATTTTAAGATTTCTTCATTTACATTGAGGTCTTACAGCTTTCGTCTCTAAATGTAACTAAACTGAAGGTGGTCAAGGAGAGAAAATTAATGTATTACGGTGAAGTGGCAGATATAAAAACTGCTTAGGTTGCTTCCAGGATTGCGCAAATATCTAAAACTTCCAAATATCATAGCAAACAACGCTACTATTCATTCGAACATGTAAAAACTGGGAAAGGATTAGTCAGCACAGACATGCTGAGTGGAACATGAGCAAATTTTACTTCACCATAAATCAGTGCAGCCGATGCTATGAGCCGAAAGAGCCAATCGTGTAGCTTCAAAACTGCAATGTCACAGCATTTGTAATCTTTGTGTGTGTGCTGGCAAAACCAATCTTGTACCAATCTCATGCAGTTAATGGTGTGACCTTGGACTTTTATTTTGTTTGTTTGTTTCTGTGCGTCCTCGTCTGAATGCACTTTGACTTTCGATGAAACGAAGTATAGGCTCTACGAGGGCCAACAGTAAAATTTATGCAACGAAACCATTCTGAAGCCCTGCAATGAATGGCACATGCACCTTTCAAAAGAAAAAGAGTGTACACGTAGCACACCTTTTGAATATTGACAAACAGAAAAAAGTTAGTAGAGAGTAAGCCTTAGAAAGGCACTAACCTCCCAAAACACTTTGTCTTTTTTATGCATGCCTCGTTAGGACACGTACGTCCCAAAACAAACATTCCCTTGAGAAAAAAAACAAACCTTAAGCACGATACTCATGTCTTGATAATCCTTTTGAGCAAAGAGGGATTCCAAAGCATGCTTCTATTTCGGTAAGCCGAGCCCAGAACAAAAGCATGTCTAAAGCGATTTAAAATAATGTTTTTAGGGAGTTAAATGCATCAAGAGAGCTCCTTGCTCCTCCGTTCAATGCAACCGGCAAAAAGCAACCCCTTTGTCTTGCCAAGTGCTGCAGCGGCTCACCTGGAGTAGCCGGTTGGCCATCTCGTCGGCCTGCGGCACCTCGGCCAGCTTGGGGAACGCCGTGCGCAGGGGCTGGCCTGGGTACATGCCGCATTTGTCTGCAACAACGGGCACCTCAAGCGACACCCCCACAGAAACCCCGAAGGCCACACTCACGTAGTTTGTAGTTCTTTAGCCGAGATACCCCTTCCCACGTCGCTTCCGTCGGGGTGCCCAGAACCTGAAACGGAAGAGGCAAGTCATCACACCTAGAGGTCTAATGCTCAATGCACAATCGTGCTGACAGACTGGTAAGTGCCGAATATGCAATAGGACTTCCAGGGAAGAAGAGAAGGGCGTCTGCACCACCTACCAAGGATTTGCTTTCGTTACCGACACGCGCCACAAAATGGCGCTGCGCGACAAAAAAGGCTACAGAATGCACAAGCTCGTTTGCGTGCGGCGCGAATGAGCTCGTTTTTGCATGGTCCGAACCGTCGACCCGGGGTAACTCGGCCCGCAAAGCACTTGGCTCGCAGTCTCGAGGTGGCGAGTTCAGATCTTGCTGGGGGATTGAAGTCTCGATGAACTGTCCTGGACCTCCTAGATAGCCAGGCTGTAGTGCTATCTACATCGTCTACCGGAGGCCGACACAGGACACATTGGATGCAAGTGCAGCGTAGCGCTTGGCTGGAACTTGTACGCTCACTGATCGAACACGAGTCTCAGACGAACGCCGGCGCAGCTCCCGTGTAGATGACGTAGAAAATACAGCGCTACAGCCCAGCCTCGTCATCCGAGAGGCCTGGACAGTCTTCCAGACGTACCTGCTCCTTTACCAAAGCTGTCGAAGCACAACCTATAATGTTCCAGAGTGCCGCTGGAGCAGGCTGAGGGACAAGGGCCATTGTTTCAGATGGCCACTCGTACATCTGCCTAGGAAACAACCACTTGGACATGGTTTTTGGGGAACTAGTATGCACCGCATGGTTTACCCGACTCCCGATTTCTCAGTTCCCCAGTACTAAAAAGTGAGGGACTGTCAATCGTCCCTCTTGGCGGCCATCATAGAGGCCACGGGTCAGAATGCTTGGCCACCTCGCCGCGAGCTCCGGCCTGTTCATGAAGCATAGGGGGGCCACCTGTCTTGAGGGCCTTCCTCTTGACTCTCTTCTAGGGAGGACCTTTGCCATCCCCCTCGCTAGTCCGGGAACATATGTGTTTTGGGTCTGCCCACGAGAGAAAGAGGTTGTAGCGTGTTCCCAACTCGGGGAGTGGAAAGACCCTCCCACGGATGCGATAGAGAACAGACAGGTTGCGAGGCACCACCTTCACTCGCCCTGAGCTGTGCTCTCGGAACAGTGTTGACAAGGTGAGCCTTTTCATTTATCCTTGTCGGCACGGGACACGGTGTGCCTGAATGATTCAATAAACACCGTTGGACCCCGTCCTAGTGTGGCAGCTGCTCCTCCTTTTGAGAAAAACGATCGTCGACGTGGCCGACGTTTCGACCCACCAGCATCGGTGTTCTCGAGCGGAGGCTGCGGGGTGTGGGAGTAGGTTCGGTGTCCCCTCAATGGAGACTGCCGCCGAACCCTTTGGTTACTTCTACGAGTGACCATCCCACAAGGGCTACCTACACTCAAGAGTGTCGGGCACTGCATTAGGACAAAGCAGTAAGATTTCAGGTTCAGCTGTAGCATAAGTAACCAGACGTTGCATTTAAGCGGCAAAGCTCCCGCTTTTTTGGCTGGGGTCCGGCTGTCCCGTCAGCGTGCTTGTGGGAGTTTGTTTTGTCCCCCTTCGGCTCCCCCAAACCGCAAACATAAAAGATGCGGTTAAACGAATCTATTGCACCTGCGAGAGGGTGCTTTCTCGGATTAATCGACAAGATACAGTCAAGCCCGGTTATATCACACTTGGGTATTTCGAATTACTGCTTATAGCAAAAAGTCCAAACATCCCCTTGAAAATCACATGTAATACAATAGGAGTGTTGTCTTTTTGTATCGTGCTCCCACGGGGAGGATACTCGATATAGCTAACGAAGCCCGGCCGCCCGCTGCTTGTCTCACGATCTGATAGCGCCAATGGTGAGCACATACATCGCTTGCGTTGTGGGGCTGGCAGACTGCCAAGCCAGCATACATGGGGGAAAAAACAAGATCAATAAACTGTCAAAAAAAAAAAGTGGAGGATGGCAAAAGCAAGAGGAAGGGAACACGTGCATGCGCGCGTAGGGAGAACAGGGATCAAATGCCTGCTGTCAGAACGGTAGCCTGCGCCCATTTCCCGAACACTGGTGATGCTGCTCGACTCCATAACCCAAAAATAAAATAAGCAAAACAAAAAAAAAGTCTTCAGTAGGTCGAGTATGTCGACAACATTGGTTGTGCAATCGCACTTGAAATGCCTTCTCTTTGTTTACCTTTTTCATTTGTCATTATTGCTTTGCCCGTTTTTTTTTTTTGTCCTTTCTTTTGTTGCTCGAATTTAGTGAGCTTCCCTTCTTGTTGCTTGCTTAACTTTTTTATGATTTTTTTATGCATCTCGCTTTTCTGTTTTTTCATGTTCTTTTTTTGTTCTTTTCATGTTTTGTCGCTTATGCTGTGTGGAGGTCGCGGCCAGGTGTGCGTGTAAGTGCGGTGTTTGCGGTCTTTGCCAGCTACGGTCTACTGTACTTAGCGGCTCTTGCATGCTCTATTTGGTAAGCTCCCAATTTATGCGACCTTCGCTATTAGCAGAGATACCACGAAATTTCAACTCAGCTTAATCGTATGTCTGTACTATATAAAATTATTGATATATTGAACTGTACTCTTGGCAGAGAAGATGCTGACATTGAAGGTTAATTTGGGCGTGACATGAGAACAGTACTTCAGACATAGTACAGTAAACCCTCGTCATAACTAAATCACTTTTTTTTAATTGTGACTTTTAACAAAGTTCAGCGTGGTCCCGACTGAAATGCATGCATTTTATACCGGATTATTCTAAATGTATCGGCAGCCGACCACGCTTATTATGAAAGCCGAGGTGCGGGAGTGTTTAGCGAAAGTCGCTTAGACCTGCGATGTTAAGAAAAGTGGCCGGCCCAAATCGGCATCGGCTGTTTGACACTGTCCACAGATTTGAGAAGTCTCTCATGCAAGAGGAAGCGTGCCTGCAACCCGAACATGAAAGATCGCCAACTGCTTCGCGCACGTCGCATTTTCTCTCGCGAGCGTGCCTACCGAGCAGGCACACGATTTCCAGAGCTGCAATGGTCTCTACAGAAGCGTGTGAAAGCATGTCGGCGAAGCCACCAAGGATAACTCATTCGCTTGCGCTTGTTGATGGGAAAGTTCCGGTTGTTGCTCTTGCCAATTATGCTGCGTTCATGGACCTTGCGTGCAGCCAGGGTAAATACGAAGCGTCGTCGGAAAGGCACTTTGGGAAACGGCAACGACTGCCGAGACATGAAACATCCCCTGGCTGCTTTGAAACAAAGTGGAGTTCAGTCGTGGTGACAGTGTTCTTGCAATGCCTGGAGCTGTTCAAGGAGAACTCATGCCCGGATAAAATTACTGGCAAACTCCACTCAAATTTTTTTTTAACAGCGGAGCTGTTAAGGGCTAATTTTCCCAGGATTGTGTCCGGTACCAAACAAATGTCGACACCCGTGGTTGACACAACACTCTGGTTGCCGCCGTCACTCATAGATGGCAGTAGCTGTCCAGAGTGTTGTGTTTGCTGGTTGTCTACTTGCCGCCGTCACTCACAGATCGCGGCAACCTTTCCAGCCTTGGCAACCAGACAACTGGTTGCTGCCGTCGCTCATAGATGGGGGCAACATTTTTTCGGAGGAAGAAAGAAGAGCGGGTGCGTAACGAGCGGCGACTTTCGCAGCAGCGCGAATGGTTCCGCAACCACCGCAAAGCCGCTATGACCTAAAGTTCCACTGCGTTGAGCGCTTCCAATTCCCTTGTGAAAGAAGAGTAGATAGCTCGCCCGGAAAGCCACCGCCGAGGACAGAAGCTACAGCTCCGCAGCTCTTCCTTCTTCACCAGAGTCCAAAGGCTGACAGTTCTTTTTTACTTGGTGAAGCTGCCACTTGTTATTCATACTCAAGGTTTGTTTCATCAAATATATGGTCAGAGTGTTCCTCAGAGTTCCCATCCACCCGAAGGCTCCTGGAGCTGTTTTTTTGGCTGTATCGGTTTTATCGAATTACAGCTTATATCAAATTTGATTGCCATCCTGTTGACTTCGTTACAACGAGGGATCACTGTATATACATACATATTATTACTAAAGAATTAATCTAACCATATTGATTAGATATGCATGCCAAACAGTCAGCAAACTGCAAGGAAAAAGATGTGTACAGTGTACACAAGATAAAAAGTTTTATTTGTTACAGTTCAATCTCATTCATTCGAACTCGAGGGGGACCGCATATTTGTTTGAATAAAGCAAAGTTAAATTACTGGCAGTTTCCTTCCACAGAGACACATCGGATGGGACCTACGTGTTAGTTTGAGTTATCCACAAGTTCGAATTAAGAGGATTTGAATTAACGAGATTCGACTGTCCTGAAATTTAGAGTTTTCAAGTCTCACAACACAGTAACCGCACCCCCCCCCCCCCTGGTACCCATCCCACTTTGGGACCAAGGAATATGGTCGCTTTAGCTGTAGCTAATCTGTGCAAGTAGGATGTGATGAAATGCCAATCCCAAAATTTCTCCATCTAGCCTTGTCTAAACTGTGCAAAATAAATAAATAAATACTGAGCTTGAGCAATACACCTTTTTCGAAGGACAGAGACACCTCGTGGCAGTCTCCAAAGCTCCCATATTTCCACTAATGGCAGCGAGATGAGAACAAAAATGCTTACCTTCAAACACCCTCGACTTCACAAACCGAAGGCAACATACAAGGACCAACCTGTTAGAATCAATTTTTCGCTTTCTGCTTATGTTTCCCAAGATATTCACTTTTTTCTGATGGGGAGAAGCTGAGTAATGCCTCCATTAGAGTTCCGAGTTGGCTCTGGACAAAGCCCAGCTTTCAACACTTCTGCTACAGCCAAACCCAACCCCAAAAGAAAACTTCCTTTCACTGGTCTCGGCCTGCAAGCGCCAACGAGTAAAGTGGAATGTTTGCAAACCTTCCAGATCTTCTCCAGCTGGTCACCGGTGTCTTTGACTCCGGGAAAGGCGGCAGCTCCAGTGACCATCTCGATGAATATGCAGCCAACGCCCCTGCACGCAAGGGCCCGCTGATCTGAACTCAGGCACGTTCGAGCACGTGAGGGTCCCGGACCTTTTCCTCCCATAATTAAATATGTAGCGAGAATATATTGGTAATTAACCAGTACGGTAGTTTTTAATGCTTAAAGTGTCTCTGCAAGCTGCATCTCGGAAAAAGGGTGTGTACCAGGTGGCACATAATCTGAACAAGAGATACTCTACTTGAATCTTGAGCGAGTCGCAAATCTTTAAAGTAGGGGATCGGTGGCCTCGCGTTACTGCACCGCAGCTAGGAGCGCATAGAGCAAAAACTTGCACTGCAAAGAACACCGTGGAAGTACCGAACTTGGCCAGATACCAAAAATCTGATCTTTCTCGGAACAAAGCTACCTCACTGCAACAGCAGACGGAATTCGATTCGGCACAGCGGCGCTTCTGTCACCGGCACGAGAAGTCGCAAAACTGATCTCAGTGCGGCGAGCTACCTAGTGATGTTGCAAGTTGTGAGGAGGAAGCCTCTGCATTGACAGAGTGAAACGTAATGCTAAAGAAGTGCTACATTCGGCACTAACATCGGTGCCGATTCGGCACTGCGCCACACGCGTAAACCAGCCTTAACAATGCCGAGATGGCAAATGTATTTACTCGACTGCGGCAGGGTTGCTGCACTTTGATTCTAGCCAGGCTCCAGGGCACGGTGCAGAGATAAATATGGGTGCAGACACCACATGCGTTGCAGCTGCCAGAAAAAGTGCCCTCCTCGCCTCGGTTGCGGGCGGCGCCACCGGACGACTCTTCAATAAGTGGCTAGCAGTAGCCGGTGGCGGGTTCGCTTTAGCACGTTTCTCTATGGGAGACACACTTGATTTGAAAGTTTCCCTGGTGTGCCACTTCCTGTAGAACTTGGCCCCTGCCTCACGCGAGCTGCTTAGACGCTGCTCCATCGTCGACCCCAGTTGCATGCCTAGACGGCAGCAAGAAGAGTTTAACAAACGCTTCGAAGTGGAGAGATTTCTGGTGCGGCGCCCAAGCCGGCGTCCATCTAGGCAGCAGACGCACCTAGCAGAAAGCATGCGCATCCAGGTGCTGTGGAAACAAGACGCCTTTTTTTGTTTTTGTTTGTTTCTTTTGTTCTCAGCTGCGCCATGCGGCCGGCAAAGACACCCTTGGCATTGGCCATTCGGGCGCGCACCGACGGGACTTTATGTGGTCGATTGCGTCGCAGCATTTGCGGTGCAGCGTGTCCGCACCTGCATTTGTGCGTCCACGCCTACGCCTTTATCTTGCCCGAGGGTAACTCGGCCGAGTGGGCAGGGGAGCCTACCACATGTCCAGGGAAGTGGAGTAGTCCGTGGAGCCCAGCAGGACATCAGGGGGCCGGTACCACAGGGTGACCACCTCGTGCGAGTAGGTGCGGCTTGGCACCGACTTGGCCCTGGCCAGGCCTGCAACGGGGTCTGTGAGGAGCACTTCGCACCGCGTGCCAGCGCCTCACCGAAGTCTGCCAGCTTCAGCTCCCCCTGCTCGCTGATCAACAGATTCTGGGGCTTCAGGTCCCTGCAAAAAAGCAAAAACAGTTGCCAAAAAATAAAAAAAAAACATTGGACGTTTTTGTTGGTCTGCCTTTGAAGTGCGGCGATGCTGGTTTACACTGTAGAGGAGAAATTTAGCCAGTGCAGCACCGCCGCTACTTTGTGGTGTTTAACGCGCATCATGCAGTAGTAATACACGACCGCACGCCGGTACGACGCTCGTCCACGTCGAACCGAGCATGGGCAGGAATCGGTGGTCAAGCGCGCCGAAGCGCCGTAGCTCGGGGCACGCAGGTCCGAAAGCTTGCACCCCATGACAGAGACAGTCGCCCTCGAGCTCGACGGGATGCTTCGTGTCGCCTGCAACCGCCGAACGAGCTACACTTCAAGCACAGTATGCATTTGAGCATGCTCAAGCATGTTTAGTTATCTCGTAACTGCTTACAAGGAGAGGACGCGCTGGTGCCACCTATCAGCTGGCCCTGGAACACTTCCAATCGACGTATAACTAGACCGAAGGCTTCGTAGCATTTGCAAGATCGGATCTACGCACCACTTATGATAAATGGTCGCTTAAAACGACGTCAAAATTATTTTGAGCCCACAGCGAAAAAAACAATGCATAAAAAAGGATAACGATACGTTGAATCTCGTTAATTCGAACTCGAGGGGGACCGGAGATTTGTTTGAATTAAACGAAGTTCACATTAAAGAAAGCTCATTAAATGGAGTACTTGCGTGCAGCACTGCGTTGGGTGGCGCATGTGCACTGAGCTAACACATGAGTGACGAGCTCTGGGACGTTTATTTACACCGATCACCAACGGACGTAATCCGCGATGCATGCCTGTGCGCGGTTCCTCAGTCGTGAATCAACAACATCGCTTGGAGCTTGGAGACTAGCTCTAACGCGGCATCAGCATTCTCTTGGCACGAGAAGTAGCGCGCAATTGTGTCCAGCGCCGACGCAACAACAGTTGCACTAGGTGGGGGCATTTCTTCACTGGCCTCAGAATCTTCGCCACTAAGGGTTGAAAGGTCTTCAGGTGTGGCCTGTTGAGGGCACATAGCCTGAATGATCTTGGCGTCAGTTATCAGCGATGCTTGGAATCGCACGCCCACTGAAAGCATGCCGAAGCACAGCAACGCGCAAGTGCAAGGCAAGAAACGTAACTGTCCGCGCCCACCGAAAACACGCCGAACTGCAGCAACACGCGGGTGCAAGGCAAGGAACATAACTGTTGCGCTCCCGCCGAAAACATGCCGAAGCGCAGCAACGCGCGAGTTCAAGGCAAGGAACGTAACTGTCCGCGCCCACCGAAAACATGCCGAACCGCAGCAACGCGTGAGTGCAAAGGCAAAAAACTTAACTATCGTGCTCCCGCCGAAAACACGCCGAAGAGCAGCGGCGCAGCACTGTCACCGCGCAAGAAAGAAAACGACAACAGCCTCTGCCAGTACCGCACCGCTCATCGCAGCATTCAAGGCCACTACATCATCGGTTGTCATGGTTACTGGGAACTAAAGTCAGGAGTAGCAGCTGGCGAACGGCGTAGCGCGGCCACACGGCCGGGTCGGAGGCGCTGTTGTGCAAAGCCCGCTCCTGAGGGCATGGTCGGCGGCACGAGATGTTCGAATTAACCGGCGCGAACGCTTAAGTGTTCTAATTACCGGGCGTTTTCGCACATTGAAATACCTATAGTGTGGACCGGACCACAGCGCCAGTTCGAATAAACCAAAAGTTAGAATTAAGCGTGTTCGAATCAACGAGATTCGACTGTATGTAATGCGGGTCGGGAGTGTTGCGGGGCCACCTGAAAGATGGCCGATGGTGTTCCTGCATATTCTTCGGTGTGCCTAGATTACAGAGTGTTTCCAACTGCTCAATCGGGGTCACGTGGTTTACGGGACACATTTGCAATCCAATCTACGAGGAGGATTCGAAAGCGACAATCGTCCACGGACGTCTCCGCCCCAGCTCAGTCTTCTGCCCGCACAATCCTTTTCGCCACTTGACGATACGCACGTGTGTCCGACGTGCGCTGGAGGCATCCACCGTTAAATTGCACATGTCATCTGTGGTCCGACTTGCCCCCTCTCTTAGGTCTAGGCTCTCTAATGTTCTCTCGCTGTAGGTACAGTCACTGAATGTTCTCGGAGCACCGAAACTCCCAGGCTCAATGGTGCCAAGATGGCAATTGAATCTTTTTTTCTTTTTTTACTGTGGTCACCATGAGCATTTAGAAAGCATGCTTTATAGTTAAAATAAATGGACAAAGCTCCTTTCATAGGCACTTTTATTGGAGATTAGTGCAGAATGACAGGACCATGATGTTTTCATAAAATCTCACTGGCGATTTCAGTTAGTGCGTCCCGACCTGGGCGTGTCCCAACTTCGGCGGTAATTTGTGGCACATTCGCTCTGGAGACAGGGTGGGCATCCCCGAAACCCCTTCTACCTCACACGTTTTGGCACCAAAATGTCCGATCAAAGCTAAAATAGAACAGTCGCGGCAGACGCCATCGAATGCAATACTCCGAAAACATTTAGTGACTCTAGTCGTAGGTAGTTACGACAAAACAACGATCTCGAGCAGACCCAAATGCAAATGTGCAAACCAGTGTCGTAAACAGTTTTTTTGTTTTTTTTTATAACAATTCTGCAGGAAGAAAATGCGTTTTGCTGCAATTCCAGATAAAGGTTCGGATGACTGAAAACAATGACTTTAAGCAACGAGCTGGCCGATGCGTCGTCACTCCGCCGTGCAGTTTACCGAGTCTACTCTAGCGCCCCCTTCCGATGCTGCCCCAGGACGACGTTTCCTTGCCTCGTTCGCCCCGGTAATGCGTTCGCCGACAGCACCACACTTTCGATCTCCGGGCTCCCACAAAGGAAGTCGAAGAACTCGCGATGCTACCCACCCCATTTGGGAACGCACGCCATGGTGCAACAGCAATAAACATTGGCGCATCATTGCCTAACTTTTCCCAGTACAGTGACGTGTCCCACTTGTGCGCGTTTATAAAACTTAGCATAATCAATGAAATCACTCTCTCAAGCAAAGATTTTCATAGTTTGTTTCGCCGCAACTCGGCAAAGAGCGAACGCTACGGCCCCTTTGAGCCAATAAGAGCGACGGAGGCAAAGCATGTGACGGCCCTTACTAAAGGTACGAGCAGCGAGAGCGCGACCGGAGCATTTGAAGACGAGGGGAAAGTACCCTCATACCCAGACCCTCTTTCATGTGTCCCGGACGTCCCTCTTTTTGCCCCCCTGGAAGATTAGCCTGAAACTCCAAATTCATACAAAGGCTCATTTTCTCTCTTGCCCACCAGTGGCTGTGACAGCACTGCTCAGACCAAGTATAACATCACCGCAATACTTATGAGCACACATCAACCACAGACAAAAAGTTGGCATACTTGTGGCGAAAGGCCCCTCGGCACAAGTATGCCGCATCATTTTTTTTATTTCTAATGTCTTCCTGAAATTGAGTCACCTTCCCACACCGGAGGCTGAAATTATTCCTACGAACACTGTTAGAAAGGACGTGGTTAACCTCAGTTGTTGCGACGAGCCACAACAATTGTTAAGATTGTCTCGCGCCAACAGTTCATTTGCTACGTTTGAGTTTCTTCCGGCGATAGATGTTACTCTCAAGGTGTCGCGATGGATTCTGTCTGTGTTCTGTGTAAGGCAGTGACGTCACGTCCTGCGACGCTGCGATGTGACACGACGATGTGATGTCGTGCGGCCCTAAATGCCCGCTAAATTTAGTGAAGTTTCCCGCCGATTCCACTTCAAAATCTATCCGCTAAATTTAGTGGGAATGTAGTGTCATGCAAGTCAAAGTATCGCATGTCGTCAGTGTCATGTGACATCACGATGTCACATGGTTAGTGTCAGACACGTGACACTATCAAAGAGTTATCCGACACTCCGACGTGACATAACGCCATGACGTCATGTTACACTCTGACATCACAATGCCACTTGACATCACAACATAACATAACGCCACAATGTCACGTGACACCATGATGTCAGGTGTAACGTGACATTGTGAAATCAAACTGTTACGCGACGTAATGGCGTCGTGTGAAGTGTCACATAAACACCGTCCACTGAATTTTGCAGGATGTGAGCCCACTAAAATTAAACAAGGCAGTGTAACTGCGTGCAGCAGAGTGTGTGATGCCTCGGCCGTCATCGCCATTCATTTGGGGGACGCGGCGAGGAACCGGGAATTTCAGAAACCCACTCTTCTCCGTACAACCTTGGTTTCGGACGTAATAAAATAAACAAATAATATGTAGGAGTGGGTGGAGAGGGGTCGGGTACCTGTGCAGGATGAGCCTCCGGTGGCAGTAGGCCAGCCCCCGCAGCAGCTGGAAGAGGAACAACTAAGGGGGGAGCTTCGACACAGCCCTTCTTCCTCACCCACCTTCACGTTGCGGCTGTGCAGGCCCCCCGGGTGCTTCTCCAGGTACTGGCTCAGGTCCGTGTGCTGCAAGGGCGACCCTAGAGCACTCCCGCTGGGGCGGCGGCCTCCCCACTTACCACATACTCGAAGACGAACATTAGAGTGTCCTTGGTGTGGATGATGTCGTGCAGGGTCACGATGTTGGCGTGCTTCAGGCCGCGCAGCAGGGACGCTGGGCACACCGTCCCCCCCGCCCCGTTAGTGTGCCCTTCGCTCGTGGGCATTCGTCACGAATATTATCTGCCGGTGTTTTCACGTCGTTCGTAACACAAAAAGTTCCTAGCTAAGTGCACTTTATGGTTGTTTGGAGGCTTGCTATATTCTCAAGGTACTGGAGTGGAGAAACACGGGAGGGTTTGTCTAATAACGTTGGTGCTAGTGCACAACAGATTGCAGCAGGCCAACGCCAATGTTGTCTGGCAGACAAAGGAGTGCGGGCTACTAGGCAAGACTTCTGCCGCACTTGCATCGTAACCAGTGCTAGGCCCACTCTTCTCAGTTCAGTCCTTGCTCGACGTTTCAACCAGGAACCAATGTGTAGAGCACCCCTTTTATTTCAATGACCCAGACAGCAAACGGCCCATACAATGAACTGCACAAAAGCAAATGGCCCAGACAGTGAATGGCCCAGACACTGAATAAGCCAGCACATAAATGAATGGCCCACTTGATGGCCAGACAAAAAGCAAATGGCCAGACAAGGAATACCCCAACACCTAAATCAATGACCAATTCCCACGAGATGCTTGCTACACCCGGATTGTAGACACCGAGGTCAGTACTCACCTTCCCGGATGGCTGTGAAGGGGGTGCCTTCCTCAGGCTGTAGCCGGATCTCCTTGAGGGCCACCACCTGGCCCATGAGACTGAGCACCAGTGTGGGCCTTAGAGACTGCCCCAGCCTTAAAGACCAAGCGGCCACTCACTTGCTGTAGCCCCGGTAGACCGTCGCATACGAGCCCTCGCCGAGCTGCTCCAGCCTCACGTACGCCTCCAGTCGGCCGAAGCGCAGCTGGCTGCCCTGCAGGACACACTATGTCGGCGATTTTCTGCGGTGAGCCGCAAACTCGCAGGCCACAACGCCGGTCCAGTTACTTAATTTTGCTTCGTCACTCCCAGCTATTACGGAGCAGGACTCAAATTATGCTGCACCGATTGCACCCATTCTATCCCAATGCTTGCTATTGTGTGATTTCACCTGTGCCAAAAGGCAAGGCAGTGCTAGAGCCTTCCCCAATGGGGACTATGGGCACCCTCTTAAAGGTCAAAGCACAGACGGAACTTTCCGCTAGGCAGAAATTCCTTCTCCAGTGCCCTTCTTTCCATTCCCATTACCACTATTCCTTCCTCCTCACCTGAAAGGAGGGCCTGGGAGCTACTATACTCCGTCCCATACATAGCGTGCAACGCAGTCAAAGCTAGCGCACCGGTTTGCACTGCCGACCACCTACGTTCGCCCCATAAAATAGTGCTACCCCTGCAAGAAAAAAAAAGAAGTCGTAAAATGAGCATTTTTGGAGCTAGTAACTGATAGTGGCGTTATGATTTCGACGGAACACCGATTTTTTTTTTTTTTTGTTTTCAATAAAAAGCAAAAGATAATGTAAACTACTCCAAAGTCCAAATTGTTTTCCGTTTTCGTGCGTGCGGCAGTCGCTTCGGGTTTACGGGTTGTGCGGCTTCCCCTGCCTCGTCAGTTTTGAGAAGATGGCCTCTTACGCAGGAAGCTTCCCTCTCCTGCTCCGATATTTTCGGAGATTCGTTGTATGAAGATCTCGAAAAAGTGCAAGCAGGTGATTACCAACGTGTACGCGAGTTCAAGAACGCGTTTCCCGGAGACGTCGGTCCGTGAAGTCCTGGAGATGGTCAGTAACGACACCGGAGTGTCTGGCAAGGTGGCGTCCCCGAAGCGAGGACCTCGCAACGTGAAAGTTTCGAGCACGCGGACTGTGTTGTGAACTGCCTTGTGTTATTTCTGGTGTTAAAATCGGCCTTGTGGCTTCAAAGTGAATCAAGCCTCAAGAAGGAACCGTGTCGGTGATGAATCGTGCCTACGGCTCCGTCTTGATCGGCTAAGTGGACGATGCCCGTGGTTGCATTCCAAAGCGTCTGGGTTCGTTTGCCTGCGGGACCGTAACCTCGGTCGGCTCCGTCTGCCTGAGGCACCTTAACCTTGGTCAGCTAAGTGGACGACGCACATGCCCGTGCCTGTATTCCGAGGCCCCTGCTTTCCTCGGAAAAGGAAACAACACTCGATCCTGATCTCGAGTGCTGTGTGTTGTGTACGCGTCTATTGTGAATCACTCCCGGTTCATGGGAACGCCGGCACCAGAGCAGCGAGATACTGCCGTCTGGATGACTTCCATACACCGGCGAGTATTTGGACTCTGAAGGAAACTTCCATGAAGTCACATCATGCGAGGGAATGCCAAGCCGTCTGACCAATGGCAGTGCGGTCCCCTAATCCCAGTGTTCGTTGTATAAAGGACCGTCCACCGCACTCTCAAGGTACTCTCGGATTTTCACGCTACCACGTAAATAAACGGCTTTAAATGGAGACGCCCTGGATCTCGACCGTTCTTCCGTTTTGACGAGGCCGGCGCGGGGTTCAAAGGGAACACCAACCCCCAGTCTACCGCCTTATAAATAAAAACAATAAGATAATAGAAATTGAAATATACACTTCTGCAATGCACACAATTTCGCACAAAAAAACGTAAAAAAACAAACAAAAAAACTTTGCGTTTGAAGTGGATTGTTTGTTTGAAGTTTGAAGTTGAAGTGGACCGCCACCAAGACGTCGGTATCGCAAGAGCAGCGCCTTGTACCACTCGGCCACGAAACGCGCGGAGTAACACAACTTTTTTTGTGTTTTTTTCATGCGCACTACTTCAGTACATTTCCCAGCGTTGCACGCTATGTTTGAAACGGAGTATAGCACCCCTCGATAAGGAGTAGTTCCGGATTTTCCACATCGCCCAGTGGAGGCCAGCGTGGGGCAACAGGCCTAATGCTGCATCGGCGTTTGGCTGGAACTCGAGTCCCGGCCGCATTGGCCTCCCGCACTGGCCTCCGACATATGACGAATAAAATCCAGCACTACGGCTTTCCCATCCATAGGTGTTGGAGCTACTCCCTCTAGAAAGAAAAAGAGGCTCCCTCCTTTCAGGGAGGGAAAAAAGGAGACATAGAGGGGCAGTTTCCTTCTTTCTGATTGTTTGTCGGCTTTAGAGGCCAACCCACAGAATCGACTTCTGCCGGGAAGACAGGTTCCCAGTTTCTTACTCTCCATTCCCTCGCGCTCCTCTCCCCTCCTTTCCCCGCAGGAACGGGCTTCTAAGCTACTTGCCACAAGAAAGAGGAGGATCTCCTCCTCCCCCGAATGGAAAGAAGGAATTAAAGGAGTTTCGTACTTCCCTGTCGTTAGCCAGCTTTAAGGCGCGCGCACAACTGGCAAGGGTGTACATTCTCAGGCCCAGCTTTTGGGATGCCACGGGGTGGGGCGTCCCGCTGGATTGCCATAGCTTCACGGAGGGAGTGTTCCACGGCAAATCCTCCTCGTCACCCGAGAGCGTCGAGACGACCCACATGTTGCTGGCACTTCCGAAAGCGGGGTGCCATGTACGCTTACCAGTATCCCAACATACGTCCACTCGTCGGAAGCAGGCTGACAGTGAGCCCGTTCTCAACTAGATGCTAATTTAAAACCAAATAACTCCGCATCCCTCTCCGTTACAATGCCACGTGCTGCTATCTGTCTCCGACTGCTTCACCTGGACCGACTGAAATCAACGGACGAGGAGGCAGCACCGCTGGCTCGAGCACTCAGCCATATACTTTACTAGGGGGAACACTGAACACTTTTTTCATTTACATTAAACAGAACGACGGCCGTGCCGAATCCTCTCTTGGTTGAGTGGTTTATTAAGCAGCGCCTTTCCCCCTCACCCCCTTTTTCTCGCCGCCAGAGCACATGACTAGGCAACGCCTCGAAATGTGGTGCTGTTGACAGGGTGCACGGATGAGAAGACAGATGCGAAGCAGCAAGCATGCGGCGTCTATCAATGGACGAAGTCCAGCCGGTAGTTAAATAAACCACACCGAGAGATGGCGTTGGTAACCTACCGATCAAGAAGGACAAAACCTCGACACCACGATACGTCTACCCATACAAACTATGCAAATCCTGTCCACACTGAAGCCATTGTATTCTCGGGGAGTGTACTATGTCCCTCCCAGTAAAGTATTTGGCTCAACTTCTCAGCTTGAGAGACACACAATGACCACCAACCCCTTTGTGCCTAAGTAACATGAACTGCAAAAGCTACTGCCGAACATCCAGAAACGGCAGCTGTGGAACCATCAAAGGTTGCCCGTGCATGTGTTCATTACGAAAATTAAAAAAGCGCAAAAGACAAGGACAAGAGGGAGACAACACTTTTGCGCTTTTTTAATTTTCGTAATGTTTAACCAACTAGGTCAACAAATCATTTTGCATGTGTTCAACCTACTTCAATCAATCAACACACTTTCTGTTTCGATTTTATTTTTATTTTTTTTTTGCTGTAGTTATTTTTTGGATTTCTATTATACATTGTTCCAAATGGTCGCTCGTGTGATGCCTCCAAAAGGATGACCTCGGCTAAATAAGTAAAATGAAAGCCGGGGCATTAACGAAAATACGTATTAAAATGGAGAGATGGTCTAGTTGGTACACGATTTTTAAACAATATGTGCCGTAAAGCAGGGACAAAAGTAGAGGGACACAACGCAAAGGAGAATAAATAGTCTCATTTTTTTTTTCAATAAACATTCAGTTGAAAGTAGCACTTCATGTTGTGTTCCTCTCTGTTTTACGGCAAGCAGGACGGATGGTTACGCACCCGCAGGTGCTGAAACAATGGACCCTGGCACTACTGGGTTAGTCCGAGATAATATAATGTTTGGAGGTTCTTATTGTGCATTAAAAAACCACACATTACACAGCACTAAACCTTCACCAGAATTAGATAGCCCCGGCAGTAAAGCAGAAATTTCAACTCAACTAATTATCTTATTTTCTGATTTTGCTTTTTAACTTTTGATTTTCACTTCTCCATTTCAAGATACTAGAAATCTGGGTGGGCACCGCAGTAGGCATGAGAGAAAAAATTCTTGAAGCATTCACCATGATGAAGATTGTCGACAAGGTTTCTGCACCGCCATTAGTCTAGATCAGGGCAGAAGAGGCTGGGTGGAAGAAATACGACGACGTCTTGAGACGACGTCGTGTTTCTTCCACCCAGTCTCAGGTGGTTTAAAAAAATGGTAAACAGTATTACTGTTGTCCTTTAGCCAGAAAAATGGTACGGGTGATCTTTTGGGAGGTGAGCATTCGTTCAGCGGTGTACGGGAGTAGCTACGAGTCCTTTCTGCTTTCTCAGCTGACATTGGTCTCTCTTTGCTGCAAATTCTTCCTTGTTTCCCCTCTCCTCTCCTCTTCTTTCAACACCTGGGATAGGCTCTTGTCAATGCTCTTTCGTAAAGAGCCTAGATTGAAGATGGGGCTCCATCTCATACCATGGGGAGCGTTTGCAATTTAATGGCGGACACCTTCCGCGGCGACTGGTTGCAATTGCACGTGCACTGCACTTTCGCGTGGCGAGCGGGAAAGCAGGAGGAAAGGCGGAGGTGTTTGCAGACGATCTATGTTTTCGTCACCTCCTCGCAGCTCGTACTGCAAACGCGGCCCATCAACCATGTGACCCTGATCGAGCAGTTGAAAGCTCTAATACAAGCTCTCGACTCCTTCGTAAGCATTAAATGGTGTTGCCAGCTGAAACAGAGACCCATGTCTTCGCAATTCATTTAGATGCCAGATAGCCAGCCAATGTCTGAATGAGGAATGCTTTCAGGGACTCGAAATCTCCAGAGAGAATTTGCATTCTCCTTTCCTAACTGAAGCATTTTTCACTTAAGATCAAGCACTCTGCAATGTGTGGTTCATCGGTTTATGCGATGAACGCATCTTCCACTCGACCCGGTGCTTTGTCCTCGGCGGTGACCGAGTGGGCGTGCACGGCGCGTGTCCCAGCCAGACGGCGGTATCTAGCCACCCAGTGAGGGGAAGGGGGGGAAGAGCACCTCTAGTAACATGGAGGGGCTCCTGGCCGCCTGGGTCGCCTTGTGCTGGGACAGGAGCACCTCCGACTTGGGACGGGCGGGGCGACAGACTGGCCGGCGTTCCGTCGTGCTGCATCCGTCGAAGCTGCTGCTGTGCGGCGTCGGCCGCAACCAGCCGGCCTTCACGGACGAGCCTGCCGGTCGAGAGACTGGTTTGATCGATCGATCGCTTTAATTTCAATGCCGCAAAGGCTACCGAGGTCTTAGAGTACCGAGAACGGCCAACAGAGGTGCAAGGACGTAGGCTGGCTTGTCCCAGATCTTTGCTTTATTTGACTAATTGGTCTCACAAAAAGTGCTCTGATCAGCAAACACTAAACAGTAAGCCCTATTTATTTATTTGTTTCAAAAAACACTGCCAGCTGAATTTTGCAAGTTAAGGCATGAAGAGGTGCACTACATCGGGACAGGAATTAAATGCAAATGCACGACAGAAAATGCATGCACTCTATTTTACGAAAAATATTACTCGAGAGCATGATTAATCACTCGTGATTAAAACTTTTATCTAGCAAAAGAATTACAAGTAGCAGTGCCTGTAACTCCATGAGGCAACTCCATGAGACAAACAGACCTAAAAAGAAAAGTATTTGAAAACTTTTTTTTTCTGCCTTAAACCAAGGATACCTAAGTGTTTTGTGTTTCTGCCCTGTGTCACAGCTATCATTGTACTTCAGATAATCTTGAAACATTAAGTTGATCCAGTATCATATTGTACAAAATTTTAAATTTTTGTACAACTAGGTAGCTGGCATAGACCGGATGAGGCATAAAAGAGCGACACAGATGCTTCTTTGCTGTATGCATTATGACTATGGTGCCTGGAACGCGTCTCCGACTGGTGTGTTTACCGCGGCCAAAAAAGTGGTCCCTCGATTTCCGCCTGATGACGTCATAAAAGTGTCATGCTGTCGCCGGTCGTGGCCCTGGCGGCGTCTCAGCAGTTGTGGTACAAATAGCAGACTCCTGTTCTGCTGCAGGTCACTTTCCACTGTGACAATTTACGGAAGCTAGAGCAGCCAGAAGTTGGGACGCCTGGGACGTCCCAATGCCACAGAAGCCAACGTCACAGAAGCTGGAGTGTCATGCAACAGCATGACACTCCGGCTTGATGATGATGATGATTAGGGTTTTAGTGGCGCATTGACAACGGAGGTCATATTGCGCCAATTCAATGTTGTTTAACTGGCACTAAGCAAAACGGTTTAAGATAACAGTATAAAAAAATTACAACTGGTGTAGGTAGCCAGTTTTCTTTAGGTAGTCGAGAACACGGTGAAAAGGCACTAAAGGGCAGCCACTAAGTAAAAACATTGGATGAAAGGGAAGATAGCCTCTAAAAAGTTCAGGGAAGCTAGACCGGCGCAACTGATGGTGAAAAGGGCAATGCCATAAAATGTGTAACACTGTAAGGCCTTTCCCACAATGGGCACAAAGCTTCACATTTTCGTCACGAAGAAGGTGCAAGTGCGTCAAGCGTGTCTGGCCAATTCTTAGGCGGCAGAGCAGAACCTCTACACGCCGTTCCCTGTGAAACGAGCTCTCCCACAGGGCCAAAATGGGTTTGATGACATGAAGCTTATTGTCATACTCTCTGTCCACTCCAACTGCCATGACATCAAAAGTGATTTCTTCAAAAACGGCTTCAAATCTTGATGAGGTAATCCCCAAGTTGTTACTAAATCCTTGGCAGATGCAGCCAAGCCATCGGCTTTCTCACTCCCTGGAATCCCGACATGACTCGGCACCCAACAAAATTTTATGTCATGTCCGAGTCGGAGGGCTCCATATAATTTACCTCGTACATGTAGGGTAAGCAGATTCTTTGTAGGGAGCAGTGAGGACACAGCCAGTAATGCGCTTTGAGAATCAACAAAGAGAATAGCTTTCCTTATATTGTTTTTTAGTATGTGATCAACAGATAGTAAAATGCCATAAAGCTGTGCAGAAAAGATGCTTGCCACACAGTTAAGTTGAAGAGATTTCATGAAGGAACCAGAATATACTGCGCAGCCAACAAAAGAAGAGGATTTCGATCCATCAATATAGAATTCAGTGTAACCTCTATATGTCTCCTGCAATGAAAGGAACTCCTGCTGGAGAACTCGTGGGGAGGTAACCCGCTTACTGTATTTTGTAAGTGTCCAGTCGCAAACGATTGGGACTTCGTCCCAAGAAGCAACTCTCTCCCTGTAATTTAGCACGGCAACATGAAGTGGGACATGAAGGGAAGCACTGAAATTTTGAATGCGAAAGTCGAGTGGCTGTATAATGCTCGGCTTGTTTTCAAAAAGTTGAGAAAAACGACAGGTATGAATGGCATTGTAAGCTGGGTGCTGTGGATTAGAATAGACTCGATAAGCATAACAAATACTCAGGTACTGTCTGCGTTTCTCAAGCGACATCTGATGTGTATCGGCATATAGGCTTAACACAGGTGATGTGCGAAATGCACCGGAGGCAAGTCTGAGCCCTAAGTGGTGAACGGGGTCTAGAATCTTCAAAGTAGAGGATCGTGCCGAATCATACACGACTGCACCGTAGTCAAGGCGAGACCGAACCAGGGAGTTGTATAATCGAATAAGGCATCGCCTGTCCGATCCCCATGAAATGTGGGACAACACCTTTAGAACATTTAAAGAACTTAAGCATTTGCGTTTCAAGTTTTTCAAATGTGGCACAAAAGAAAGCTTCTTGTCAAAGATTACACCAAGAAATTTAGGTTCCTGTTGAACAGATATGTCTATGTTATTGAGATGCAAAGTGGGGTCCAAAGACAAACCCCTGCACAGTGAAAAGGGAACACAAAGAGTTTTTTCGGGAGAAAACTTGAAACCGTTTTCATCTGCCCATTTGGTCATCCTGTTGATAGTGAGTTGTAGTTGCCGTTCACAACTGGAGAGGTTACATGAAGAGAAGGAGATCTGCACGTCGTCTACATAAAGAGAATAAGATACCGATGGCGGTATCACCCTTCCAAGACAGTTGATTTTAACAGCAACGCTTAAAGGTCCTCCTTGAGGGACCCCATTTTCTTGGCTAAAAACATCTGACAGTGTGCCACCCAAGCGAACCTGAAAGGTTCGCTTGGTTAGGAAGTTTTGTATGCACTGAAGCAGTCGACCACGCACACCGCAGTTGTACAGATCTCGAATGATTCCATACCTCCATGCGGTATCATATGCTTTATGCATATCAAAAAATACCGAAACGCAATGTTGTCGGTGCACAAACGCCTCACGAACAAGGGTTTCTAAACGAACCAAGTCATCTGTGTTTGATCGTCCCTCTCGAAATCCACACTGGTTAACATCAAAAAAGTTCTCAGCCTCCAAAAAATAAAAAAGACGCCGATTAATGAGCCTTTCATATGTCTTCCCCAGGCAACTAGTGAGTGCGATGGGACGGTAGCTTGTGGGGACAGATCGATCTTTTCCATGTTTCAAGAGAGGTATAACATGAGCACATTTCCAGCACTGAGGGAATGCAGCTTGTTTCCATAGGTGATTAAAAAACGTCAGCAAATGGCAAAGTGATTCAGGGGACAGGTGTCTAAGCATTTCATAATGAATTTTATCTGGGCCTGGTGCAGCCTGCTTTTTTGTAGGAAGTGCTACCTTGAGTTCACCCATAGTGAATGGTTTGTTGTATGAAACAGTGGCAGACCCTAACATGGAGATTGACTGCTTTTCAGCAATAGACTGGAATTTCTTAAACTTTACGCTGAAATTTGAGCAACTACTGATAAGCTGAAAATGCTCGCCAAGGATGTTTGCTTGATCTTTGAGTGATACAGAGGAGGAGGAAAAGAGAGGAGTTTGAAAGGATTGGTAATCTCCTCGGACCTTCCGCAGGCGGTCCCACACTTCTTTTAACGGTATAAAGCTATTTAGGGCTGAAATATATTTAACCCACGATGTCTTTTGGCTTGTTTTCTCGTCCATCGAGCCTTGGCTCTGCTTTTTTAAAATTCTATCAAGTTAAGAGGCGTCGGATATCGGCGGAAGATTCCCCAAGCCCTATTTTGTTTCTTTCGAGTGGCTGTACACTCATCGTTCCACCAGGGTTTGCATCTCCTGGGGAGCTTACCAGAGGTTTGTGAGATAGACGATGCAGCAGCATTAATTAAACATTCAGTGACATAAGTTGTCGCCTCCTCTGCAGACATACTAGTAAATAAAGAGGGGTCAAACACAGCTTCTGAACCAAACAGAGTCCAGTCGGCCTTCTCAAACTTCCACCTCGGAAGGCGGGTCGAAAGCAAAGGAAGAGGTATAATTGTTTCTAAAATTATGGGGAAGTGATCGCTTCCAAAAGGATTATTTAAAACCTTCCACGAAAAACATGGAAGTAAAGATGGTGATGATATGGAAAGTTCTATTGATGTGAATGTGTTATGAACAGAGCTAAAAAAGGTTGGTTCTCTCTTATTCAAAAGAGAGAGTCCAGATAGCGATAGGAGCCGTTCAATAACTCCACCGCGGGAATCTTGACGAGAGCTTCCCCACAAAGGATGGTGGGAATTAAAATCACCTAAGATTAAAAAAAGGTTTGGGCAGTTGATCTACCAGGCCTTGGAGTTCATGTAGATGCAATGGACTGTTAGGTGGAAGGTAGAGCGATACAATGGTGATGAGGCGATCAAAGAGGACACAAACTGCCACTGCCTCAAGTGGTGTTTGAAGAGGTACTTGAGCACACACCACCCCATTCTGCACTACTACTGCAACACCACCGGAAGGAGTGGGGGACAGGCGATCCTTCCTAAAAACTTGGTGACGACGTAAGATCTGTGTACGATTGTCATTGAGATGAGTTTCCTGTAAACAGAGTGCCACGGGACGGAGCTCATCAAGAAACATGTTCACGTCATCAATATTACGAAGAAGGCCGCGACAGTTCCACTGCGTGACGCCCATATGTTTACTCATAGCAATAAAAAGGTAAAAATAAAAAATAAACTAAAAAAACAGAATGAAACATAAGATGACACCACTATGGTTTAAAATCAATTTTTACACGTGGAGCGTTTTTCTTTTTCGACGTATCTGTCTGCCTCCCAGTGGAGTCACTGGGGGCAGAAAAAGAGAACACCGATCCTGAGGAGGGAGCCTCCTCGTCGGATCTGGGCCCA